CTAGGGGCTTTTATCTTCAAATGTATACGAATTATACTGTAAATAGTGAACTATATTGCAAAATCATCTGTAATACGCGCAAATAAATGTGCATAACTGCATATATTTGGTGTATATTTTGTGTATATTTCGTCTATGGCATGTTTTTTCATTCTCTTTTGTGCGGATCTTCTTCGATTCTGTGTAGCTATACTGTGTGTGTGTACACTGCAGTTTGAAATACATCTTATTCACTGGTATAGGCGAGAAATTTTAATCGTATATATGATGAATAGGATGTGAATATTGTGTATAAATTTGTATGAACGAATGATGAAAGCCCCTAGGTTTGAATGAGACTGAAAGAAATAAATTGTAAAATGTCAACGTAATAAATGAACAATTTTATTGGAAACTATGCATATAATCAACTTTCCATTAACACGAAAATGACCATTAAAATGGGCCAAACCATTACAATTTTTGACGTTAAAATGTCTGAAGAACGTTACATATTTGCTTCTTGGGTAGTGAATAATATTCAATGTTGAATTCTTGAGTTGTGCGAAAATATACAGTTCACACAGAAACATAATTACAACAAAGTGACATTATCGGTGACCATGAGAGTCAATGGGATATGTGAATATTATGAAGTGAGTGGATCCGACTTAACTGGAATTACTTTTCATTTTTACTAGACCACAATTAAAAAAACTAACATATTTATTAATGTTTACAACATTATATTTTTTTAATAATTTCCATACATTTTATAAAGCGGGTGTAAAAAGCTTATACTATCTCTTCAAGTTTCATTTTTACAGTTAACCGTTTTATTTATTTTTATTAAGAAACAATCATGTTATTCATAATATGTTCATATTCACATTTGAGGCCGAATTTGAGTGTAGTTTTGGTATTACGGTTACCATACCGTAACATTCGGGTATGACAATAATTATTATGAATTGAATTCTGAATGAAAAATATTTTTTTTAAAATTGAAAGCTCTGCTTACCTATGGGCCCACGTTCCGACAAAACAAACAGTAAACAGTAACAGTTTTCGTTTATCCAACTGGAAACTACATAAGCAAAAAAAAACAGTAAACTGTTCACTGCTGACGGTCGAATAACATTGATATTTTGTCGATTCAAATTCTGTCATACCTCCAATTCATCACCAACATTGTCCATCAGAAAAGCATTGAAACCAGTAACAGAGTATGCTATACAGGACAATGTATTTTATTTTGACCACTAAAGTAGCGCTGCAACAGAATTCAATATAAATTACTGAAATACACATCGAATGTAATATTCTGGTTATAGCTCGATGTTTGTTTGACAGTATGAAAACGCATATCAGTAGCGCCGCCAAAACACTTTACACAAATTAACATAATGCATAGTCAACAGATTTTGCGTTTATACGGTCCCACTGGTTGAAACAATTCACTATAATTGTGTTACTGTTGTGCTTCAAAGAATTATAGCAATAGCGATGCTAGCAATGAAGATTTTAGCGCGTGAAAGAAGTTTTTCATAATAATATATGTATGTTGGTATTGCGTCACTTGGGGTACCTTGGTCCTTCACTTTGTCGTCATCATCACAATTGTCATCGACATTTGAAACAAATCGCGAAAAAAAATAATGGAAAATTTCGTAATTTCGCAATACATAATTACGTTAATACCATTGTAATGACGACAAAATAAATAAGAAATCTATTCAAACGAAATTTGTTCTCAAATTCGATTGTACAATGCGATGAAATACTTCCAATATTGGCAACGAATATTTCAGTCGGTGTGATGAAATTCAAATATTTTGCTGTTCATCTCAGAATTAAGCGATGCTTAAAATCAAATGAAATCAACCAATTGTATAAACTATTGTTCGTTCTTTTTTTATATTCACGCGCCAACCGACAAATTTGTTTGTAGAATTTTAAATCAAATTACACAAATCTCTTTTTTTATTTGAGATAAATTTCTTTCCATCGGTCTCAGACATAGTAAATAAAAACAGATTTCAGTTCTTACGTTTCGATGTTTACAATTTTTTTTTTGCTGGAATATGGTATTCATTCAAGTATCGATATCCATTTTGGGAACTGTAAAAAATAAAAGTGTATGATAAAAAGTTACAGTATAAAAAATGTATATTTAGTTTTATCAGGTGATGACAAAAGCAACAGCGGAATAAGTAGTGCCAGTCAGTATGCAAATTATTCAGTTTAATTTAATATATTTTACAGTAGCCTCAAAAAAAATTTTGTTCGTTTTTTGTTATGCGGAGGGTTTCTTGCATTAGATAGCTCTTTGATTTGTGAAATTATTAGAACAAGAATATATTCAACTAATCATTGGAAGTAAGTAAAAAATGAATGATAATCGCAAAATACTAGAAATTGTGTTGAAGACGTAAAGTTTTTTTCTAAAATAAAAACAAAACCCAAATGTGGGTATTTTAAATCATTTATTTTTTTTATTCATCCAAAGAAAAATAAGGTATTATCGGTGACTACTAAGACGCAATCTGAAATTAAAACAATGTTGTTGTGGTCATTTTCCATTCTGCTCCACTACTTTTTGATTAATTTCCATTTGTTTTCCATTCTTCTGATCAACTCCAGGTATACCTAATATATTAATCGTTATGCTCTTTAACAGTTTCAACTTTGGATCCATTGGATTTAAGATCCATTGCTTGATTATATACTGATTGGTTCACATCATCAAGTTCTTCGTTTAGTTTTTTAGCTAGGAAATAAATTTCGGCCAACGCTATAATTAATGCACAAATGATTCCCAATAGCAATCGAAATCCAAAATCTAAATTTCCCACAAGCAACTCAACGCCAATAAAACCAAATGCAAAGCCAGCAGCTACAGAAAATACAAACTGTAAAACAGCAATCAACTGTCGATTGATTTGTTTGACTGCAATGATTCATATAAAATGAAATTATTATTATTTATCTTATTTGATATTTGCTATTTGACTAAATGTGTGCCAACCTTGATATGCGATTGTTTCTTCTGGTTCATATGATCTTGAACAGTCAACATTTTTCGTCATATGCCGATACTTTTGTTCATCTTGTTCACGTTTCAGACGCTGGCATCGCTCTTCTAGTTCTGGATTTCTTTCAGTAAATTCATTTGATGGTAATATTATAAGAGATCCTTCTATCAGCTCATGCAAATAGTTTACAGAATCATTTTCTCTACGTGTATCTGAAAGGTGTTGATGAATCCATTTCAGGTCCGATAAATTGAGCGCAAGTTTTGATATCTCTTTTTCTCGTTGCCTTGCACGCATTTGACGGGCCTTATTATTACTTATGTGTTTATTCTTTGAAACTTCTTCGATGTCCGAATCGCTTTCATCATTATTGTCATCGAATGTACTTAGATGTAGGGATTTTATGCAATTTTGTAAATCAGTTGTATTTTGGAATGTATCATCCGAAAATGCAACTAAAAGTTTCTTTTCTTCTTCAGTAAAACCTTTAAGTAAAATTGATTGCTTAGAAACACCTCTTTTTCTAGTGTCTTGTGTAATAGCTTTATAAATTTTCAGCAGATTCTCGGGCAAATCAATTGTGGTATCGTTTAACGATTTTATAAAATCTATCATTTTCTGAGAAGGCTTAATGCCAATTGATGGATTTTTTATTGGCGCCTTCATCATCTTATATATGTATATTTCTTCTTTTATTTGTGTATATGTAATTTTCGCTCCAAGTCAGAATAAAATTCTCGAAGTTCTTCTTCTTTTTCTTCAAATGTATTTTCTACGCAAGATTGCTTATATTTCATATCATCAACAAATCGATTCCAAATTTTTGCACGTTCAAGCCTATTTCCATCCAGACGTTTCTCCTATGACATAGTAATAGTTAGTTCAAAAACAAAAATCCAAATAATAACAATGATTCTTACAGCCTCTTCGTTAACACTGCGATTCAAAACGTTTTCACACAATGTTAATGTTTCATCAAGTTTGATCTTCAGCAAAGGTAGATTCGATAAGCACTTTTCCACTGAGGATTCTTTAGCTTCAATTGTAGATTGTACCGATAAAAACAAATTTTCCACTTCTTTGTCGTTTCTATTTTGCTGCAAATAATGAATGATTGAATAATTTAAAGTCACATGATTCTATATTACATACCTCAAATTCTTTTAGAAAGCAATTGATTTCACCACTGAGAAATTGTTTATGATGAAAAATTCGCGAATAAATTTCATTGACATCTGAAAGAAAAATTTTGTGCATAAAAAACTTGATTTAGTTTTAAGTTGTTCAATATATATATATATTTTTTTTTTGAAATTATTGTTTAACCTTTTATTAATTCATATGTCATGTTTTATATCAAATGAAAAATGTCAACATAACAATATTTTGACACCCGTCTTCGTTCTTATTTGTAGTTGTGGTGTTAATAATTGAAGAGATTGATTTTTTTCTTGCAAAATACTAATTCAAGCTGAAAGAAGTGAATTTCAATTTACTTGAATTAAATGCTATGAGTCTATTCCGATATTCACAAATTTTCACCTAAATGAACATCACCCAAATGCGTAACTATCAAGTGCAACTAACTTCACAACGATGATAGAGTGCGCAAAACACACTACGTAAAGCCGCACAATGGCGTTTGCAATTTACAATCGTTCAGAAGTCTCTTTTTGAGCCCAGTCACGCTCATTCTCTCTCTTTTATGTTAAAAAAGAGAACATAAATAAGAGAACCAAACTAATATTTAGTTAAAAAAAATCATTATTATTTGTTTTAATTCGAATAACAATATATTTCCGTGATCAAATTTGGGCTGATTTAAGTTATTGTAAGTATACTGGATATGAAAGCTACTTTCAGATGGCTGACACAAAATTGTGCACACACGATTGCAAATAATTAAATATGAAAAATAAAAGGCAAACGGTGTCAACTGAATGAAGCTGCAAACATATTTTATGATATATAGTATTAAAATTAAACTTTTTCAATTCGACAGTGTGTAGTTTTTATTTTTCTATCTAATATTGAGGTATAATTGAATATATATAAATCATGTAAAAAAGAGATAGACGTGTAATAAAATGGAAAAGTTTATCAAAGAGTGAATTAATAAATTTTTTTTTGATAAATTGATTGATAAATGCAATAATATATATGTATATAAATAAAAGTTAAAATAAACAAGAAACAAATAAGGCTATTTACGTAACGTTTCCATGTAAAACGATATGAACTCTGCCAATATCACGAAATTCATAAATTTACATATTGTTAATTGTAGGTTCCAAAGTAAAAGATGGTATTTGGCTGAGAAAATTGAAATACATCAAAAAAGAGTATTTGAGTAACCTCTAAATCATACACATATATTTTCATTTAAACAAAACTAAAAAGAACTTTGTGTGTATAATGTCGGTGCATTACAAATTCAAAAGTTCTTTGGATTTCGATACAATAAGTTTTGATGGATTGCATATCTCAGTGGCTGACTTGAAAAAGGAAATAATAAATAAAAAAAAGTTGGGCAAAACACAAGATTTTGATTTACAAATCACAAATGCCCAAACTAAAGAAGGTATGTATTCCAATTGTGTTATACTATTTTCATGCATTTTGATTGTGATTTTTTATACTACAGAATACAGCGAAGACTCATGTTTAATTCCAAAAAATACATCATTGATAATAGCTCGCGTACCATTGGCAACAAGATTAGTAAAAAAGGCATGGGATCCAACGGCTGAGAAAGTGGCTGCATCGACATCAGCACGTGAACGAAAAAATGCCGATGCTCAAGCAGCCAATATCGATTTGACGCTTATGAATGGTACAGACTAGGGGCAAATCACTTAAAAATTACTTATTAATTATTATTGATTGTTTTACGATTATTTCCCGATTATTTGTCGATTATTTGTCGATTATTTTAAATTAATTCTTTTCTTTTGTGATTCTTACCCTTAGGTACAGAGGAAGAGAAAATTAACGCCATGATGAAACAAAGCACAATGGACTACGACCCACGCAAGTAGGTGCAATAAAAAAACACCACTTTATTGGTTGTGTTACAGAATAATGATATACAACTAATAAGTTTGTATGAATACTTATCTATTATCAATGTTTCTTACACGCTACCATTTTATGTATTGTTAGGTTCAGGTAAAAATGACATATCTTGTTGTGACTTTCAATTTTTGTTAGCTGACTTGCAACATTACAATTTTAAAATTTAAATTGATTTTTGTGATGAAAATATACCACTATTTCAAAAATATTACTTTAGTAGTAACAAAACTGCAGTATGTTGCTCAGACGGACTACTGTAAAGCATGAAACATTTATTTATTTTTACTGGATTTTCATATGTTTTATGAATTGTACGTTAATTACATATTTATTCATATAGTTATCAAAAAGTACGAGGTTCAGCACAAACTGGCGAAGTTCCAAGCACCTATAGGTGTTATAAATGTAATAAAATGGGACATTGGATAAAAAATTGCCCACTTAATGCTCATCATGATGCAAGTCATACTGAAATTAAACGCAGCACTGGGATTCCTCGTTCATTTATCGATGGTATATTTAGTTTTCTTATGCGAAAGACTTTTTTGTTTCAGTTATTCGAAACAATTTCTTAAAATAGTTTCTTAACATCGTTTTCTGTTTTATCTTTATTTTAAGCGGGGAATTCTCCAGCAACTGAACCAATCAACCTACCACCTATCGAGAAAAAACAGGAAATTCCAGATGATTTAATTTGTAGTATTTGTAAAGATTTGTTCACCGATGCGGTCATGATTCCATGTTGCGGTAGTTCCTTCTGTGATGAATGTAAGTGATACCATTGTAGTGCCATAAAACATTTAAATAAAATGTATCACAATTTATCAGGTGTTCGTACTGCTTTGTTGGAATCGGAAGACAATGAATGCCCAGATTGTCAAGAAAAGGGATCTTCACCAGGATCACTCATTCCAAATCGATTTTTGCGAAACTCGGTTAATTCATTTAAAAATGAAACTGGCTATAATAAACCAAGACAACCTAAAAGTAAGATCAGAGATTCTGCGAGAAAAAAAAAGAAAAAAATACAAAATTATTGCAAAGAAATATAAATATGGATTAATTTAAAGATCTAATAATATAAAATCAAACCATATTTTTTTCCATCTAGAAACTGCACCACCCGTTGAAGAATGTGTTCAACCACTAAGTGAAGAAGTTGCACCAAAAACTCCTCCTATTACAAAAGCTGTAAGTGCAGAAGAAACATCTGTAATTGCGGAAGAAGAAAAATCAAACACTCCTGAAACTGTTGAAACAAAAGAACATGAACATGAGGAGGCACCTCGGGATTGTGATACATCACGCGCAGGCAGTCCTCATGATGAATCTGACTTTGAAGATAATATAATTGTAACGGTGCCAAAACCACAAAGTCAAAATAATTATCTTGATTATCGTGATCGCCAAAATCTCAACGGTAGATACAATCGTTCAACAAACCTTAATGAAGTAGACCAACCCTCTACAAATCAGCCTCCATCACATCAGGTTTGTGTTTCTCAAAATGAGCTTGAATTTCTTACCATTCTTTAAAAATAACTTTCTAATTTATTTCATTCTCTGTTTGTAATGTAGTATGTTGATAAAGAGCACTACGGTGCCGAAATGAAACACATGAGTGAAATAAATATGAATATGAGGTATGGAATGCAACAACATCACCAGCAACATCCACCAATGATGCAGCAACCAATGCCTCACAGGTAAAATTAACATCCATATGTACTATTTAGAGATACCTTATTTTCAACGCATATTGTTCTATATTTTATCAGACAAGGTCCACCAAATCAAATGCAACCAAATAACTTTCAGCCATCAGCTGCCGGTCCGAATTCCTGGTGGAATCATCCAAATCGATTTGGACATTCAATGCATGGAATGCATCAAAAGGACATGAAACCCATTGAATCGAGTTAGTTGATTTGTATAATTATCTGAAACGTGATCTAATAAAAGAATAAGATTAAGTGCACATTTTCTCAAAAAATTGTAGAAACTTTTAGACATATAATTATTATGTTGACTTGATTCATTTATAAACAAACCATAATCTTAAATAAAATCTAATATTCGTTTTACATGCTTTATAGATATGCAACAACACCAACAAATGAATCATATGCACCATCGATCATATGGACCAATACCTCATCAACCACCGCAAATACAAATTCGCGGTTATACACCTGTACAGCATCATCCGCTCCCACAGATGCATCGACCATTGATGCATCAAGAGTCAAATATCGTTGCAACAGCCTTTCAAGGAGTTGCGAATAAAATTGGAACAGGAATAATTGAAGATCCACTTGCCGCTTTTGAGCAAATTATGAAAGAAAAGGAAAGACGAAAAATACAGAGACGTGCTGCTATAGATTCACCACCAAGGCGCCGATCTCGTTCAGGTGAACGAAGACGTTCACCAAGGCACAATTCACAGGATAGTCGTGATCGCGGTCGATCAACAGGTAACAAATTTATGAAAATGTAGTTTCCGTAAATGTTTTTCATTGTAAAATTTTATTATATCATAATTGTGTTGTTTGTAAAAAATAATTACTTTAACATGAAGGACAAGAATGACAAATTATTCGTTATTTTCTTAGGTAAAGGCGAGCGTTCATCGTCGAGAAACAGAGACCGACGAAGTGACAAACGTGGGCGATCACCGGACAGAAGACGCAGCCCAATTGAAAGGCGGAGACGTAGATCGGGTTCATACCACTCACGACAATCTCGGTCTTATTCGAGGTATGAGAAATGTGAATACGTTTTGTAAAATTTTAATTATTTATGCGAGTTTTTTTATAGATCTAGATCTAATACACCCCCACGCCGTCACTCACGATCTCCGCCAAGAAAACACTCAAGAAGTCCACAAGATCGTAGATCACGTAGTCGATCAACATCTTACTCCACAAACCGGTATGATTCTTCTACCTTTATATTTTGGATATATTATATTTGAATGGGTGTGAATCAAACTGGCCGAAGCTCAGTTAAAAATAAAAGAACAGCATCATTTTTTTGTTTGAAGTTGCAACTCTGTGTTGCGCTTTTATTTTCAACGGAATTTCAAGTCACTTTAATTCTCATCCGTTCATTTATGGATTTTGGTGGGTCTGTGTTATGTTATTTTTCAGTAATTTCAATAAAATTATCAATGGCATTGACTCAAAATTATTTTTCAATTATAACTTTTCAAAATTGTACAGGAATCGATATCGAAGAGATTATCGAGATCGAGAAGAATATAGAGAGAGGTCACCAAATTTCTATCACGGGTGAGTTTCCTGTTAATTTTCTAAAAAATAAATTAAATTCATATCAATTTTATTAAATAATTTCAGTCGTGGTCGTGGATCTTATAGAGGAAGAGGACGGGGAAATTACTATCGTCAAGATCGAAATTCAATGCAACAACAACAACATCACCAACACCAACCTGGGGGGGCGCAACAAAATCTAAATGTGCCATATTATGATCAGTCAATGAATTTAATGAATACGGGAATGGCCAGTGGCCAAGGTGGATATAATGACGGAATATACCATGATACCCAACCAAACAGGTACGATAGGAATTATATACCTTCTATAAACTCCATTATTAAACCGTTTGAAATAAATGGTTGTTTTAAAAAGATCGGACAAAAGCATTCTATTCGGTGTGTTTGGTTAGTATTAGTTTGGGTGTATATGATAATGATTCATATTAAAATTAGAGAATTTTATAATGTTTCCAGTCAAAAGAAACATAAATACATAATCCACGACATTTACTCATTTAGTCAAATTTGGTATTTTGGTTGATTAAAGTAGCAATAGAACAATGTGATTAAGAAAGACTGTTGTAGTATTAAGAATGTAGTGGCACACTGCCATCAAAAAGTATGGGAACCATTCAATTTTGACCAATGAGTGTTTTACAAAATGGAATTTTCGAGTTTTACGTCCGATGACGATTTAGTGGTTTTAAAAGTAAAAATCTTGCTAGTGCACATTTGAAAAATTTATAAAATGATGAAGCTTTAAGCCAAAATATTATTGAATTACCCCGATTTAAAAAAAAATGGTTAACTTCCAAAAATATTTACTCAAATATTGAAAAAGTCACATTTTCTCTTAGAAATGAGCAGTGCGGTATAAAAAAAATTGGCTCAAATTAATAGATCTATATTCCAAACATTTTAATGTATCATGGAATCCGGCACTGGTCTTAAATTTTCTGATGGCAGTGGAATACACTGAGTGTATATTCGATGGTCAAATATATGTCTTGAAAATATTTAAATAAAATCTAAAAAAAAATCATTTTTCGGGCAGATACAAATGAAAAAATATAGACTAGTCTCTATTTTTATTTAAAAAATCCTAGCTGTTTTATTCATTTACCAAAAATTCAAAATATGTGATAACATGTGAATACAGTTATGCCTGACAGTGTTTTGTAACATTTCCTAATATTAATAATTACATTCTCTGTACAAAAATCGTCAAATTAAGGAAAGCAATGAAGATGTATTCTGTAAACACTGTAAACTAATCACAATATCAAATGTTTTGTTATATGTTCCTATTGCACTGCAAGAAATCGAAATTAAAATAAAAAAACACACACACACACAAATTTACATATGTTAGATTCTATTTAATACATTTCGGTTGTCAACGATGGAACAACCATCTTCAGCGAGCGCTAAATGGATAAGAAAGACTAGTAGATAAGAAAAAATTCTTCAAGCAAATACAAAAAAAAAAAAAAATACAGATGTAAATCACTAGCAAAACTATCGTTACAACTATCGTTACAACAGCGACAAATAGCGCAATTCGATAAATTCTTCAGTTTATCATTAATGAAAATGAATAATGATTCATCGAGCTATAATCACAGTATATTTAGTTTAAGACTGGTTTTTGAAACTGAACTAAATAAAATTAATTGATAGTTCCGATATTTTATTCGAGCATTCACGATGAATGGAACATTTTAATTCAAAGTCCCTTGCATATCTAAATCAAAAACCATTTTCGGCTTAAATATTAATTTGCACTATTTTTTCTCGTAACAAACAAAACAAAAAGAGAATTAAAAAGCTGCTTCATTTTATATTTGAACAATAATTTGGTAAACTGATTTCTCTTGATTTCTTACAAAATAGAAATGACAATGAATTATGTGAAATATCTGTTCAAATTGAAAACTATACTCGTCTGCGGATTTTTAGTCTTAATTAAGATTAGAATTAGCATTTGTTGGGTCAAATACATCCATGCCAGGCATATGTTCACAATCGAATTTGGTCGTATTTGTGTGTAGTTTCAGTCAAATACAACGTCACAATGTAATGAAAAAAAGAGAAAAACATTTCAATTAGATTGATACGAAAAAATTGATTTGATTCATATATATGCAATGAACTTCACTTACCTACGGCCAATTGGAACCGTACCCTGACTATCCCAAGGAACAATTTGTAATACAAATTCACCCCATTACCAGGCACACATTCACGGTCAAATTTGGACCCGGATTTGTGTGTAGTTTCAGTTATTTTTACGGTTGCCATAGCGTAACATTCAGGTGTGAATACATGGAAAAGAGGAACGACAATCATTAGTATCAATTGAATTGTATATAAAATATCATTTTTTTAAATTAAAAACTTTACTCACCTACGGGCTCCTTCCCTCCGTACTACCGTTGTACTGTTCTTATGAACGCACAACTAGGCCACAAGATTTGTGTAATACAAATGGTGTCAAGCCTAGCTAAATGAATAGACTCCATTTTAAATTGATTCATACCTTTGAGCATAATGCATTTTGCAGCAACAATATCGCGGTGCCAAACAACTGTCTGTGGAGCAGCAACATCACCCTGAACATTTAATGGCAAATTTTTGTAGGTAGCTTCAACCTTTGACATTAAACGCCCACTCCGAAGTATTCTTACCACATCCTGATAATTGCCATTGCGAATTCGAAGCTTAATTTCCTTCTGTCCCTTTTGCAAAGCACGTTTGCTAACCGTTGCCACAATTATGTCTGGTAGACTAGCGACTGAGTCCGGTAGTCCAGCAATCGGTTTCGCTCAGTGATGGTTTTTTCCTATCTGAATAGCGCTAGCATTGCTGCCCAGATGCTGAATCGAAGCGGTTGCCGCACGCGTTTTGTACCACACAACATATTGTCATATAGTCTAAGTAACCAGTGAGCTCACAGAGTATGATACACTAATACCATAGTCAGTATACAAACGCATGTCGAACAGAGAACGAACGCGAACGTATATGCTCTGTGTGGTACAAACGAAGTGTGTTGCGCGTGCGGCAACCGCTACGATTCAGCATCTGGGCAGCAATGCTGTACAGGCGCTGCGAATAGCTAGCGCTATTCAGATAGGAAAAAACCATCACCGGTTTCGCTTTGCAACCGTAGCACACTTTGAATCGATGCGGTTTTGTGTTCGCTGGAAATCGTTCTTGGCAATTCGCGCATGTTTGTGATGTTCCCCATTCATCTTCCATTTTCACCACTGAATGGCCAAGTTTCTTGACGCTCACCAAAAATTTTATAAACACTCTGTTATTTCGGAATTAAAACAAAAATGAACACAAAACCAACTGTGAATATATCCATTCCTCAGCGAACAGCGTTCCGAACACACAAAATCGTTGAAATTGAAATGACAATAAAATCAATTGATCGCCCAAACCACGCTACAAACACTCACATCTAATTCTCAAGAAATCCTCTTAGAAACCCGCGTAATTTTTATTCAAACGCATATTTTTGTACTGGGAAGAACATAATGGGAAAACTTTGAAACTCTTCACTACTGGCGATCGAATCGTTGTCGTTTCATAGATGATAACGTAAAATTCTTTAGAGGTGAAGGCAGGGGGTCCCCGACGAAGTCAACTGTTGACCTGGAAGCAAGCACAAAAACGAATGCTTGCTCGAGTATGTCTGTATTTAGTTTGCTGCTGCTGCTCGCATTGCTCCAAAAAAAGCAGCAATTATGATAAATCTAATAAAATATAAAGCGATTTTATGAGAAGATGAAAAATTAAAATAATAATAAACAGAAAACACACAACATTTTTTGTCAAAGCTAGCATTTTTTGTCAATTTTTTTATTTTGATTTTTTTGGAGCAATGCGAGCAGCTAGTAAGTAAGCAAGTAGTCTTTAAAAATTACTCTCTGCTACTCCGGTTGCTCAAAAAAGGTTTATTACTTGCTCGAGCATGCTTGAACCTAGGGGAAAATATCGAATAAAATAAGTAACGAATATGCATACTTGCGATGTCTTCATCTATTTATAGTATATTCGGTAAAAAATACTTGAGTATAAACCGTATAAACGTATAGATAATTCCCCCTAGGCTTGAACACTTGCTCGCTTCAACAATTTGTCGTAAATGAGGATAAAATCGTTTTTTTTTTTCTTTGCTCTTCACTTTTTTGGCGAAAACCCCTAGCAAATCGAAAGAATTTTCTCGGCCGAAAAAAGTGAAAAGCAAAAAAAATGGTCGTCATTTCCAAAATTGTTGAGGGTTCCTAAAAATATTTTAGAGGGGGTAATCCGAACCCCAGGAACCCTCGTCATCACCTATGTTGTCGTTTTGTTGATTCTGATTAGTATAATCAGTTTGACTCCGTTACCTATTGTTGTTTCGATTAATGAATACGTTTCGTTGATCAAAGCGTTACTTAAAAGTTACAAAAACATTACAAGTTTGTTTGTTAAAAGTACATTTTTGGAAAAAGTTATATCAATGACCATTGATCCATTTTGAAATGAGAAAAAGATTTTTTTTGTATAAATTTACTTTTAGTGATTGGTTATCATGTTTATTAAGTGCCAACTTGAATAATTTAATTACTCATTAATCATTATCAGTTTGATCGGTGTGTAAATTAATTTAAATCTAACTCATATGTGTATATTGAATGAAATCTCAGAAATGAGATGTATCTTTTCGTCAGTATTGGTGAATATTTCATATTAGAATTATTTTAATACGGATGAAAATAATAAAATGAAATGATTTGAAAATTGTTAGAATTAGCCAAAGGCTCAAAAACATCTCATTGTGCTTTTTAATTGAGCATATTATTTGTTTGTACACCATGACGAACACTATATTCCATCTAATAAAACGATTATTATATACGATAAAAAAATCATTACTACAGTTATAAAATTTACAATTTAAAATAAGTAATAAATATAAGTTCACAATAAAATGAATAAATGTTAACGAAAATTATTAATAAGGTAAATGCTACTTCAGATAATAATAAGCCGGTTTTATTTTCAAATAATATTTGACTAAACTATGAACCAAGAACCAAGAGCATGTTTATATACTTAGAATAACTTTATACTAAATAGCTTTAAATAATCATTGAAATGAAAAACACAGCTGTGATAGACAAACTCAGTATAATTATTGTACAATTTCACGTTTATTTCTCAAAATAAATTTTTTGTTCTAAAAATATTCAATATAAAACTGTAATTGAAATTTAAAAGTCAATAATTGAAAAAAAATGACAATAGCTAGAATTGTAATTTAGTCTGCTTGGAAATAATGCGACGGTAAAAATTAAATTTGAACTAAATTCATCTAGCTGCAAATGAACTGAGACGTCTTCGGTCAATGTAAGGATGTATAGAGTTCAGTATCTTTGAGTCGACGGTGGCGCCCCCCATCTCAAAGGGAACGTCAATGTAATTTAACAACTCAAATCGTAACTAAACAGCGCGCTAAGTTTGAAATGTGTTGATACATCCTCTCATTGTCTTCGGTGGAACAGAACCCAGCATGCATCATGTTAACATCAATATTGAACATTTCTAGGGAACGAATAGACTCAGAATAATGTAGAAAAGAGAAACTGTCAATATTTCATTTTTATTTTCTTTTTGTTTCCAACGAATAATTAAAGCAGAAGAATTGAAATATATACAATTCATTGTGAATTACGAAAAAAATATTGTTTTAAATATTCAAATTATTCGATTGATTGTACGCAACGTTCTAAAATGTATTTTTAAATGACCTAATAGTTTTTTGATTATGAAATAAATTTGTTCAATTGTTTATATAATGGAGAATCTAGCCCCATGTGAAACACGTTTGGTGCTATAAAATATAATTTCACAAACTAAACAGCTACTGGATCAACACACCGCATATCTCATACTCACACGCAGGTTTTGATATTGTAGCCGATCAGAAGCAGCATTTATATCACTGGATTTAAGCACATTGGTTAAACCCATGATTGAAATTGAAAAACGGATCAATGGTTCATCAGAACAATCTCAACATTTTGGAAATTTACAAAAAAAAATCCATAGACAGACGAATGAAGAAATACAGATGTGAATTTTACATGAAGAGATACATAGAATTTGTCATGAATTCGGATACTTTTTATGCCTGAAAATTGTGCATATAAAGGTAATGCTGCATCTATAGATGCGAATTGAATGTCCGGATTTGAAGTGGTGACCTATTGAATATTGATTCTTTCCTAATTAGTTACTTTTTTCCAGTATATATATAAACATATTTTATTCTGATATAGCTTAGTTATAAATCTGCGAATTAATGCCTTTGAGCATATTAGTGGGGAAATCTTTGACTACTGTTCATTTTCAACCAGAAATATAAGACAATTTTCTTTTTCGATCTATTTTTTGCCGTATAGATATGCACCCTTACCAGTGCACTCACCGACAAATATACATGTAGGAGGAGGATTACAACAAAATCACGAATTTGCTTCACAAATTGGTCACGCAGTCCAAGAAATTCATCCGGTAGAGTCAAATTACAGTAATGAAGGCAATCAATCATTCTCAAGTAATCATTCGTATGATGTACTACCACCTGGAGTTGATCGTGAACCTCCTCCACCAGGATTTGAAAATGAGGTAAAATTGAATTTCAATCATATTAAATTTATATTTATTGCCGTTTATTGAAAATTCTTATTGTGGTGGTATTTAATAATAATTGACAACGAGAATGCAGAAAAAGTGCCTTCTATTTATTTTATGAGCATCCCTCATTTTCTCAAATTGAGTGATTATATCTTTATCCAAAAAATTACTATTGAGAAAAAAACATATGTATTTCCTTTCTAGGAACAACATGCTCAGCATCACTTACGTCCAAATCTCAATAGAGACAGTCAATCACCAACGAGATCAAATGTCGAACGTGAGCGTTGCGAGAGGTCTGATCGCAAGCATCACAGTAAATCACCATCATCACGTGAACAAGTTCGCAATAAAAGTGGAGATGGTCGAGGTCAATATGAAAAAGAAGATAAGAAAGAGATAAATAAAGGCGTAAATCGTACTAAAGATTTAGATAAAAAAGATCTACAACGTGAAAAAGAAAGACCTGTACGAGAAAAAGAAAAAGAACGAGAGAAGGATAGAGAGAAAGATGATGATAAACGTGAAAGAAAGTCCAAGGACAAAAAGAAAAAGAAAAAAGAAGAAAAATCAACAGAAAAGAAGCGCAAAAAGGATGGTATACTTACTTTAAAAATTACTATTCCATTATTGAAGAATGCTATATCCATTCTTTCGATTATTTTTCCATTACTTCCATTACGTTCCATTACATATTGATTAATTTCCATTATTTCCATTCTTTTCTTTGTGATTAACCCTAGGCAAAAAGGATAAGAAGGAAAAGCGAGAAAAAGATGGCAAAAAATCTTCTACAAAAAGCCATTCACACTGTTCTTCGGGCAATGAAGAAAAACATATGAATTCCAGCGAAAAAGAAATAATGCCCAACAAAGCTTCGCCTGACTCGCAACACGAAACTGCATTTAGTCATTCTACAACACCGCCTCCTCTGCTCCAACAGGTAAATAATATTGTGATGCATGTATAACATCAAAACGCATATTCATGTTAATTTATTTATTTTTTATAGAAGAACGTACTCAAATCGGTAGTACCAGTTGAAGAGGAAGCAAATATCGATTTGTACGGAGATATAAATATTGAAATAGAAAACGAAGAAAATAATCCCAATGATGATTTTGGCATCACAAATAGTCCAGTTAGTAGATTGAATCGCTCCGACTCAATTTTAGATATACATACAACTGTAGATTTTGAAGATGCCGATTTACCAAAAAGTGAATCAGAAGCACCACATTCGAAAGATATACCACCGGTAGACACGTTCGTCACATTACCGGAGCCCTCAAAATGGGAACGTGACGAAGACTTGTTAGCTGAAAAAAGTATGTACTTTTAATTTTAATTATAAATTACAATTTTAAATTTATGTAAATATATCATTCGGAATAACAGCAGCTGATTCATTACCAGTTGACGATCAAACAAAAGTCACCAACGAAGTGTTGAAACGAGCTGAAAATGCAATTTTTGCCCGAGCAATCAATGCTATTCGGCCTTCTATTGAAATTAAGAAAATCTGTCCAGAACGACAAAAACTGTATTCGAATGAAGTGGCAAGTGAGCAGGATAAGTCGCCAGCCACATTATCTGCTGGCCATGTAGAAAAAGCTTCAGACAACTTACTTCAAATAACAGTTCTAAATTCCGAACAGGAGCGATCTGTTGAGCTAAAAAGTGGTACAACCATTTAAATTTAAATTCCCATTATTCAACATTTTGTATAATTATAATTTTTATTATTTACATTGTCATTATTAACAATATTAACATTTGAATGCTCGAGAATAAATGAGAGACTTCTCCAGACGTTTGATTGTAATGTAATATCACCATATAATAGTTGAGATTTTTTGTATGGCGATGTTATACTTAAATGAAATTTTAGGAGATGTCTCACATGTATTCTTAGATAATCATTATATTATCCTCTTAGGTACAAGACAACCACGTAACAAGACACCAATACGATCTATAAAAGATCGGCTGGGTAAGAAACTATAAGAAAATCATTTAAAAAATGTAATTTTATAATATCCAATCAATTATCCTCGTCTTTATTTTCACCTAGGTAAGAAACTGAATGAAGAAGCGAAAAGCAAAAGTCGAACACCACAACGGAAGATTGTTACCGACAACCGCAGTGAAAGAGCAAGAGACGGGGTATACTTACTTTAAAAATTACTATTCCATTATTGAAGAATGCTATATCCATTCTTTCGATTATTTTTCCATTACTTCCATTACGTTCCATTACATATTGATTAATTTCCATTATTTCCATTCTTTTCTTTGTGATTAACCCTAGGCAAGGGATGATAGAAGACACGATAGAAAATATCGAAGTCCAAAAAGTAGTGATAATCGTCGTAGCTCTGTAACGCGTCGCAACGACCTTCAAAAATCTTCAGAAAAAAGTTATCGAGAAAGGGAACGAAGACGAAATTCAAGTGAAGACCGCGACACTAAAGAAAACAAAGATCGTAAGAAAAGTGGTCGAGATGGGAATGAAAAAGATAGTTCGGAATTGGAGTGTGAACGTGAACAGCACAAACATCAAGTTGAAAAAGCAACGAGAGACACCGAAAGGGATCGAGAATTGCAAAAGGCAAGAGTTCGAGCTAGAATACGCGAAGAAGAACGTACAAAAGCACAACGAGGTGAGTTGTATATTTATTATTTTTTATAATCATTTATTAATTGAAAGCGTTAATAAGTGGAGACATGAGATTTCGAATTTATTCATTTAAAAATATCATAATTTTACAGATGGAAGTGCAGCAGACAATTCATCAACCAAAGAGAAGAAGACATCATCCTCTATTGGTTCGACAGCAGATCGACGAAAACGGTTTGAATCGAATGCGGATAGCCAAAACGTTGGCTCGATGCTTGAAGGAAATCATCATGATATTGATGAGTCAAATTTTGAACCAAACTATGAAGCTCACCCAAGCGACGAATCCCCACTCAAATCTAAATCATCTGATCGTTGTACGAATCGCTCGAAAAGTAAAACTAAATCGGAAAACAGAAAGCGATCACGTTCGTACTCTTCAAGCAGCAGTTCTTCATCCGATTCAAATTCTTCTGACTCAAGCTCGGATTCTGAAGAGCGAAAAAAGAAGCGAAAACGAAAGCACAAGAAACAGAAGAAATCGAAAAAATCTAAAAAGAAGAAGAAGACAAAAAAGTAGTTTTTCTTTAAAATCCAAGAAGGCATTTTTCTTGAATGAATTTTACACAGATTTTTGAAAAGCAAAAATTGTTTCAAATAAATTAAAATTTTGTGAATAAATAAAATTACAAAAAACATGCGACATTTTCTTATTTTATTCAAATTTCTGTTCCGAGTCCAGAAGAGCAAAAAACAAATTGATATGATTCTTATTTTCATACCAGAATACATAATATCACCAAGTTTGATCACCTGCTGAACTCACTCACAGCTTATGAGATATTGACGGGGTTTTGTTATAAGTAAAATGTAACATAACCTCATTCTCATTAACCTACTTGAAATGAATTTTTTAAATTCCTACAGAAGATTTGCACACATTTTGAAATTTCAAAGGGTGCAACAAGGTGATTTTTATTTGCTTACTAACTAATAAATATTTTCTTAATAATACTAATTTGATTTACAAAATGGAAAATAGTGAGAACTTTGTTTTCCGCCGAGACACTGGGAACCAATATTTATCAGACAAATTGTCGAGACGCATTAAATAATGTTGAAGGTGCTGATCAATTCAAATGGGATCTACATGCTTATGTTGAAAATGAAAGCACGAAGGATTCGCAGAAATTGAAAAATGCATTAGAAGTGCTGGTGCATTTAGTGAAATCAGATTCAGATGACGTTCATCTAATCAAAAAAACCCTATATGCATTTGATTCGACTGATGGTTTAACCGATAAAGCCAAACGTTCTATTGGTAATTTAGTAATGCAATACATTCATTCGAACAATATGCCAAACGTTGCACTCGATGTAAGAGTTTTCTGACTAATTATATTTCAAAATCATAATAAGAGTTATTTTTAGTTTTTCAGCGATATAAAATTAAGTGAATTTTTTGCTGGCTTCAAATGTACGTTGATGTTGCTAGACCTGTTGTACATCAATGGACAGTTTGATAAAATTATCGAAATTGATATGGAAAATCGATCAAAAATATGGTCAAGCAAAACGAACTGTTCAAAATTTCTTGATGTATTAGTGTTTGGTGCTTGTTACAAATTGGTAAAAAAAATTTTAAAATTCTATAGTATACATATGTTTTTACTAAAGGGTTTTTATTCTAATCCAATCCATAATTAATTCACTACAGAATACAGCCGAATCATTTTATTATGCACATAAATTATGGTCAACAATTGAGAAAACATCACAATTCCGGCGAAGCCTCTCCTTCTTTGCGGCAATAACATTGAATCAAGGAAAATCAACGGAGGTCATTCAAATGCTAGAAAATCTGGAAACAAATTTTGTAGATGAACAAATTAAACTTTTAGCTTTAGCAGATGTTGGTAATGTTAAAGAAATAATTGAACGAGTTTCAACGTGGAAAGACAATAAAAAACTATCAAAACACAAAATATCCAAAAATGTGGTAAGCACAATATCTTGTTTTTGTTTTACAAAATGTTGGAAACTATTTTTGAATTTATTTCAGATGGATGGGATATACCAACGTGTACAGAAAAATTCAACAGCCGATGATCGAAAAAAGTTTCAGGAAACCTATAATGTGGTTATTGCAGAGAACGGTGTATCTATTGAGGTAAAAAATATATTAGATATATATTTCTTATTAATCCTTTTCAAAAATAACTTCTTTCCAGACTTTAGAACAGTTATTGGACAGAACCATAAATTCACGCATTACTATAAGGGGATGATATTTTACTTTACTTTACTAAACATATGTTTTATTTAATATTTCACAGTAGAACAAATACTTTTTCTAAAATGAAAGACACACCAACGAAATATGTGCGATGGTTCTGGTTATTATTATTTTTGCGACCGTCCACATCTCACACTCTTCTCACTCTTTCATATGTATGAATGCTAAAAAGGGGGAGGATGGGAGCGAAAAAAAATTCATAATTTTAAAATAAAACATTTATTTATTCTTTGGAAGATAAACTCCATGGTTGGTTTTTTTCAAATGTGTAAAAAGTTTGTTTTTAGATTCAAATGATGAACCACAAGTTACGCATATAGTATTATTCGGTTGATCAGATGATATTTGTTTCTTATTAGTTTCATTCTTGGCTGACGATAGTTCTGGTTCGGCTACATTTTGAGTTATTGTTTTGCCACTCTTTTTATTTTTGTGTTTTTTCTTTTTCTTTCCACAATCGTCACTCCATCGGTCTTCTTTCTCAGCATCGGAAATATTTCCAATATTAACATCTCCCAGTGAATCTTTAATGACTTCTAATTCATTTTCGCTATCGCTTTTATATTGTGTTTTAATCTTTTTCGACTTTTTTGCCTTTTTATTGACTTTCTTTTTCAACACACTTTCTTTTCCACTTTCTTCATCATCACTAAAGTTCTTGAGCTCTGATTCAGAATGATTGCTATCTTGATTATCGTTCATGTACAAATTATCCTCTTGCTGCATGTGTTTTTTAAGTCGTTCAGTATTCTCACGATGTTTCTTCGATGATTCATGGTTTTCAAAGGAGGATGGATTCTTAAATGACTTATTACATGCAAGGCAATACAAATCATCAATATAATAACCTGAAACATCATCATTATCGTTATCATCATCCACTATACCATCTTCGTTGACATCAATGTCACTTTCACTATCTGTGCCATAAGTTTGTTCCAATTGTCTAAGTTGTTCCTCGTGATCAACACTAAATAGATTTGTTTGATTTTTTTGCATTTCTTGCATTTCTTGAGCTTCTCGCTGATTCTTTTTCAACTGAGCCAATCGATGTTGTTGTTGTTTGATTCGATTCTGTTCGGCTTTTGTTTCAAGAACTTTTCGATATTCTTGTACTCGCTTGTCCCGTTTTCGCACAAAAGCAACCAATGCTCGAACCTCATCGTTCCGTTCTTTTCGCTTTTTTTGTGTAATTTTTTTCATTTCTTTCTCAACCTCACGCAATATTCTACGATCACGTATTTCGTTAATATTGTGTGGACAAAGCCATGTATAAGTTTTTTTTGTACAATAGCTTTGCCAATACGCATAAAATGGCCCAACAACAGTCTCATAATCACAAGTTGATGTACCGAATTTAGGAATTTTTTCGTATTCATTTGGTGAGTTCATGAATTCAATGTCCTCAGAAGCTAGCTGATCAAACACTTTTGCATAAACTATATAAAAGCCATTTTCATCGTTTCCATATCCTTTATAACAAGCAGCCGAAAAGTATGAAAAAATATCAAGTGATTCATCTTCATAATCTGTGTGACTTCCCCGTAAGATTTGCTCACGGTGATTGTCATACCTATTAAGTAATACAAAGGGAAAAATTATTTGGTGATATTTAGTATTAATCAGAAAGTTATTGTTCTTTTTGTGTAAAACTTACCAAGCACGCTCGTGTCCATCAGATAAAACGTCGTACGCCTGTTGTACCAGCAGAAATTGCTCTTTTGCTGCATCAATATTATCTAAGTTCTGGACATTTCAAAAATATACATAATTTGCACAAAAAAGCCATTTTATGTTATTGTAGTAATATAATAATAATTATTATACCTTGTCAGGATGAAATTTAAGTGCTAATCTTCGGTATGCTGTATCATTTTAATTGAAAATATTATCAAAAAATTCAAAAACAAAATGTTTATGGCATTGAAGTTGTTACCATTTTTTATTGCTTTTTCATCAGCATCTCGCTCGATTCCCAGGACTTCATAATGACACTTCATGATTATAACAAATTTATTATTTAAATTTACTATGAAAGGAAGTAAAATGAAATGCTGCTGAAATCTACGTCTTTATTTATTCAATATTAGTTGCCAAGTGCATTGAGCCAAAATAAAAACATATCGTCTGCACTTAGAACATGTGTTGTTGTACGTAAGTATTTTTACGGTTTGACAACTGATTAATGTCAGAGGCAGACACTTATACTTTGAAAAGCCAAGTACATATGAAACTTGAACTGAAAAATATTTTTGAATATAATAACACAAACAGAAGAAAAAATGTTCTTTGAATTAATTAATGAAATGTTAAAATTAAACAAAGAAAACGTGAACATTTATTTAAATATATATATATCGGAAATACTCAATAAATAATATCTAGTTAAATCTTTTCAAGTGGCGCCATCTTCAGTTAACATTGCTGAGAATTATTTGAAATGTAAACGATTTTTACAATGACGCTTAAATAAATGAGCAACCATTTCAACTGAATCTTTTGAAAGCAAAAACGGCGCTAAACATTTAATCAATATCATTTAAATTAGTGAAACAAAAGTATTGCTAAAAAAATGAACGGTGAGGTGTGCACGGATGTGCAAATATCAAAACTCATAACAAATTCTCGCGAACCGATAGTAGTTGAGACGAAAACAACTACAACTACAACGACAGTAACAAAGCGAATTTGTATTGCCAATGATGCAAATATTGATATAACGGATATTCAATCCCTTTTGGATATTAAAGATATTCCGCAAACAAAAGCAATTGATTGTACTAAGTTACCGCCAAAACCAGACGTCACAACAAACAAAGTGACAACACTCGATACGACGAAATGTAAATCAACCGGATTGGATTTAAATAAAAGTATACCTTCATTGCTGTCATCAACTAAAATTGATGCTTTAGCTGACTTGAATGAAATAGAAACCTGTGTGTTTTCAACGAATTCATCAAAAAGTGACAAACACTTTAAGGTGGCGGACAGAAATATCGATAAAAAGAAAAAATCAATGGAAGCGCAACGAAAAAAAATATCCGGACGATCAATGTCGACCACAAACGATGCCAACAAAAATAAATATATTGATGGTTTGATCAACGAATACATGACATTGGAAAAAAGGCCACGACGAGAAAAAGTGGCAAATATACAAGAACCATCACCATCTGAGACCAAAGATCTATCTGCAATTTTTGAACTTTCAAGTGAATCTATCAATTCACCGGAACTTCCAAGATCAACGAGTATTTCCCCGATTGAATTTGATGCATTTGACAATGAAAACAACTATGCTGATCCAATTGATAACCTGATGGAATCTCCCAAAGTGATTGCATCCACAACTAGTACTAAGAGAAAAGAAAAGAAAACACACAAACGCTTATTATCAACAGTCACAAATGAGGAAGACGCAGTTCAAGCAACTGAAAACTTTTCGAAGCGGACAAGAAATTCGAAGAAAGTCCCAAAAGAATCGAAAAGGGAAAAGCCATCAATTAAAAAAGAAACACCACAACAGCAACAACCTCTAGATTCTATGAATTTATGTCAAAATATTAAAAAATCTCAAATAAAGATTTATTCACCGTCGGCTCGAGGAAAACTACGAGCTGATGCTGACAACAGAATGGTTCTTACAAAGAAAATGATTGAAAAGAAGCTGCAAAAATATCCACAATCATCGGAGTTACTTCAACGACTTGGTAAATCAAATGAAATGATCGTTGATGCGGATTCTCGACTAATCTACTATTTGGGGGAGAATGGTAAAAAGGAGCCTTTCTATTATTAATTAATTCTTATTGATTCTTTTTCAATTATTTGTCGATTATTTTAAATTAATTGTATTCTTTTCTTTGTGATTTTACCCTTAGGTAAAAAAGAGGAGGATGAAGCAAACGACATGGACTTTTTATCACTTTTGCAAAAACGAAGCAAGCCATTGCTCGTTAAGGAAAAATACACCAACTGAAAACGATAATAATCCTTCATAGTATGTTTAGTTATTAAGTTATTTAATGCTTGTCAAAGAACAGAAAACTCAAATAAGAATTAGTAAAAATTAAAATATATAAATATATATGTATTCTTCACAATATTTCATGTTGTAAAGTAAACAAAAAATAAATAAAAACATTTTGTGAGTAAAAATGTGTTTAAACTGGAGTTGGTTCTGTGCATCAGAACATACCCTGTCAAATCGTTCGTTTGACATTTACTGCAAACAAATATATATGCTTTAATTAGGAAAAAAATATTTACCCAATTGAGCCGTGTAGTAGAAAGCAGTATTACAAATAATAGAAATCGAGATGGCTGGCGTTCATCATCGGGAAGCAATTCAAAAGCAAATTCACCAGGACTGGGCGAATCGTGAATATATCGAAGTTATAACTACCAGCATCAAACGAATTACTGATTTCCTTAATTCTTTTGGTATGTTTTATATTTAATCTGAAGTTACACTCCAATTATTTTTCAATATAAACTTAGAGGCTAATTTACATATACTGAATAAGATATTTTATGATAAATGATTTATTTTAGATATGTCTTGCCGATCACGATTAGCTGTTTTAAATGAAAAATTGACCGTGTTAGAGCGTCGCATCGACTATTTGGAAGCGTGCGTGACAAAAGGTGAAACTCTAACTTAAACCCATGAAATTCAATTCATTTATGGATATCACAACCAAACAAAAACAGTTTAAATCTATTAATGTCAATAAAAATAAGGCTTAAAATGAGAATTCAATTAATTTTATTCATTTAATCCCCAATCGATGAAATGAAACATTTTTATTATATTTAAAGAAAAAGAAAGAAAGAAATATACATCAATAATTTATTTATTCCTTTGACTTGGAATTTCCGTTTGATACGGTAGAGCTACTCGACGTTAAATTAGAATTCGTTGTGATTTCGGATCCATAGTTGCCGGAAATTGTACCGGCTGTATTTGGACTGGTTGTCGTTAGAGCTGTCGTTGATGAAGTGGAAAGATTCGTACCAACATTGCTTCCATCGCCAATTTCTAATTGTTTCAATAACCGATATAGGCCAGCTGCTTCTTTAATGCGGCTAAATTCAACGCAAAATGTTTCTACTTCAATGAATAATTCTTTTACATTGATAATTTTATTACGAATCAGGCTTTGCAGGAAAACGCATAATAGGCGCACTAGTCGTGTTTGTATATATTTATCAGTGATTGTTTCGCATGTTGAAATACAATTACTGATATACAAATATACAAATTCGGTAGGTAAATCCACGGATGTTGTTAGACGATTTACGACCTCCATTGAATATAGTGACATTTCCATATTAACCAATACATTAAAATATTCTGTGATTTGATCTGAATTCATTAGCTTTAATAATATTTCAATTGCAACCAGTGGGTTATTTTCCACAAGTAGAGGCAATTTTGCTGGTGTTAGGCCGATATTATTTACAACATTTGGATCTTTTTCCAATTCATTGAGTAACACTTGTCGATCTTGTATATTTAACACCTAAAATGATCAGAAAATAATGCAATTATATAGAGATGATCCTATAAGTTTTACTATTTTAATAGAAAATTTTGTTCAAAAAGTAAGATTTCCAAATGATATCATTTCCTATATGATATATAGGAGGGAGGAGGATTAGACTCAATCTAATACTAACAAACAACCTTTCGTTTAATCAAGACAATAATCGTCTTTTTTAGACAGAAAATGGGCCATATACCAAATTAATCAGCTGACTGGATGTTAATTTATTTTTTGTTTTTCACATGGGATTTAATACCTCTGTAAATGCCTGTTTTAAAATACGTGCGGCTTCAAGACAATTGTCCAATTCATTGGCTGATGACGGTCGTACAGACGTTATCGATAATGCAGTCACACCATCGACTGCAAAAATAGACTCGGTTGATGAAATTTGTTGTTTAGTTTCTATTGCTTTTGTTCTTTTGCTAGATGTTGGTGTTGCTGAAATTGAACCGAGTGATATGTCGTAAATTGGTTTATGCCATGCAGGATTTGTTACGTTAAACCAAACTAATTCATCTTCGACGGGACAAATAGGCGGTGCAACGGTTATGAATTCTGGTTGGAAAACATTTTTTAGCGGTGTGTCTGGCTGATTAAATCCATCCATTAAATCTTTAATGGCCGTATCGGAATGACCATGAACATTTGGAGTTGGAATAATGTTCATGAGTGAATGACGAACGGTTGAAGGTAATTCCTTTGAATGTTCCAAGTACGCTTTGATTGTATTCAAGTCCAATTGCAGTGGTAATGTCTCTTGCTGAATAATTTGGGCGGGAGTCAGTTTACTCAATTCTTTTGTGCCAAAATTGAGTAATTGTGTAACAAATCGCTTTTCAATTAAATTCACTTTAGATACAATTATAATTGATTCACCGGCATTTAAGATAACTGATGTGAATGGCGTTTCGATATGACTTCCATTCTCTTGAAATAAATCTTGCATAACAAAATAAGCACATATCTTTTGCACAATGCCCGACAAATCACCTTGACGAACTAATGCTGTTAATAAAGTTCCAACTATAAAATACATAAAAAAATTATATTAATACTTTTTTCGCTCATGTTATGTGTGATAAGTAGATAGTGTTGTTATTCACCGCTTAAATAGTCATTTTTGTTAAAACGTTTTTGAACGGACGACGATATACATTCTAATGTTTGGTTTTCCACATTTTTCCCCGTTAGTAACCTGAAAAATATAAAATTTGTTTCTTGGTAATATTAAAGCGTATTAATTTAAAAAAACAAACTCATTTTACTCACTCGTATAAGTACAAATAATCCAACGAAGCTTTTGACATTTCTATTTATTTTTTAATATTCTGATAAAGCAATTTACTTATGTTTTTGACAACGTTAGTCGCCGACATATATCTAAAGATTGTTGTTGTTGTTTCATTCCGTTTTCTGTCAAATATCATGGTATCCGCAGGTATTTTGTTCATTTCAATATGATTTGTCAAAATGTGGTATATATGTATACATATTTCATTACTCACATAAAACATTTTTAGTATAGCGCAACTGCCGCTCCATCTAATGTAAACTTGAAATGTGACGTGAGTAATCAGTACAGCTGTTTCCGTTCATGTTATGCTAATTTGGTCTTTTGTGAATTTATTTTTCGCAATCACAAGCTGTCTGTCACAATTTTGAAGCACAGTTCTAAAACACATTGATCGCAAATTAATCTTTGTTGATAAGTGATCAATTGTCGAACGAGAAAATAATCTAATGTTGATTGTGGAGTCAAATTAAGTTAGCATTTTTATAAAAAAAGACTTGTAGCTATGTTTGTTTTCTATAAAACATATGGAAACACAAAAAAAAACAAAAGTAATGATTCAACCTTGAATTTCTGTGTTTGTTCCGTGAAATAAAATCACTTTATACAATTCAGATGAAATTTATTCAATAATTTGTTGTTGACGTGTAATCGTGACATTATATAATGATAAAAGACAATTGAATAAACGGTCTGTTTTTTGAAGACGGAACCAGACATATGGGATTTGATTAAATTATCTGATTCCATATATTTTCCATAATGATTCAAAAATGAAAGTCATAATTCTGGAAGACGTACATTTGAATTAACTGTGTATTGTGTAAACAATCGTGTTATTATATATAATAGTTGTTTTTTTTGTTTGTGTTTTAATTTAGAGACAATGTAATGTGGAAGGAGTATAGAATGATGTTACTTTAAGTTTGGTATTGCCCGAAGCAGCTAAATTTGGCATTCCAACATTTTCTCCAGTTTTTCGTTAATCTAAGAAGAAAGTGGTCCAGAATGGCCACAAATAATACAGCCAATGAACGGGTTGATCAAATAGCAATTGAAGATTTATATCCAGCATTGGTACAATGTTTTGGCACAATTTTATGCGGGTAATCAATTCATTGAACAATTGAATTTATAAAATTCATCATATAATTATACTTTTAGCTATATTGCTGGTCGACTAAAGATTATAACAAACGCCGATACTAAAGGTTTAAATACATTTGTTGGCACGTTTGCGTTACCATCCCTTATATTTACATCGCTCGTCACGTTGGATTGGAAAACGGTGAACTGGATATTCTTACTGGCTATTCTCATTTCAAAGTGTATAATATTTTTTGCTGTTGGTATTGTTTCACTTTTAATGACAAAACCCACAAACTTCGGCAGAGCAGGCATTTTAGCTATATTTTGCACACAAAGCAATGATTTTGCTATTGGTTCACCCATTGTGAACGCACTTTACCATAAGGCACATCCAGAATATGCATCGTATTTATACCTTATGGCTCCATTGTCACTTGCAATCCTCAACCCAATTGGATATATTTTCCTCGAATTGTCAAGCGTTAAGAAACCAGCCACCCCCACTCAAGTTTGTCATCATTTGTATATATGAAAAACAAATCCGTTTGAAATTAACTAAACCATTTTCAGGTTGAAAGTGCTGAGACCGCACAAACAGCATTAAATCAAGATGGTCCCAAAAAAGTTACACTAATAAAAGAAGCATTGAAGTCCATCATTTTGAATCCAATTTTGTTTATGACAGTCTTTGGAGTTATTGGTGGATTTTTGTTAAGCAGTTTACCGCCAGTGATCGCCGGTGTTTTAGATGTTTTTGGAAAATCTTTTTCAGCTACAGCTCTATTTCTGCTGGGACTTCGAATGGTTGATAGTACCAAATATTTTTGTGGGCCTGAACTATTAACACCCATAATATTGATAATAATGAAAGAGTATGTACCAGTTGTATTTTAAATTGTTCTTAATGTGAAACGTAGTTTATTTTTGCTCAAAGTTAAACGAAATTGAATACTGGTTTTGGAGACTACCAGAAAATATTGAGAATTCGGGTTTTCGGCATTCGATAAGGATTGGCAACATGCCTTTTCAAATTGTAGTGTGGTCTCAAGTTTCACATTAAGCATTGTATTATGAATTACGTACAATATTCAGCCGTTAAATTAAAAACATATTTTTAATTTTAACATACATCACACAGGTTAGCACTACCATTGGTCATACGTCAAACAATAAATATCATTGATCCAAGTAGCTCACTCACCGAAACAACCGACTTGAGTACATTTGGTTTTCTTTACGGAACATTCCCAGCAGGTATTGATATTTCGGGTTTCACTTTTTCGTCGTTCGTTGTTCATATCTCGTTAGTTTCTTCCCACCTCACCGAAACAGTTTCAAGTTAGATTTTTTTTTGTTTCCATTCGTTGTAGCACCTGGAGCGTTCGTGATTGCTACTAAATATGATGCGGATGTGGATTTAGTTGCGAGCAGTATGGTTGCTTGTACATTTATTAGTGGACCAATAATATTTATTTCAGCGAAAATGATTTCTCTCACCAATTTACAGCCATCAGATTTCTTCCCTGAGCTGGAAGCATTTTCGTTCGATATATCAATTATCGGAATTTTAATGGGAACTGCAACAATAATACTGTTCACAGTAACTAAAAGGCACCAAAAGATGCCACATAAAGTCACATGTTGTTTGCTTATCTCTCAAATCATTGTATGCATTGGTGTTATGATATGGTCATATTTTGGTATGGAGTCAATCCCTGTATTTTATACACAATTCATACTGTATACGTTTGGTTGCCTAAGCAGTCGCATTTGGTGCGGTATCAGTGCGATTTCAATGCTATTCATTCAATATAGAAGTTTATGCTTTGTTTTGAAAATGGTTCCAATTTTTGTAAGTGATTAAATCTGTTATCATTAGAAAAAAAAACAATACAATAGAATATATAAGTCTAATACATCTAATAATTTAAATAGATGGCAGTTGGTTGGGGTATTCCAGCAATTATCATAGGATTTTTGTTAATCTTTGATAGAGAAAACATTTTGCCTACCACTAAAAGAAATCCAAATTTTCAATATGGAAATGCACAAGCAGCTATTTCATTGTTTATTCTGGTCATAACTTTTATTGGTGAGAATAAAACCACTTAATAATTATCTTTATTTCAATAGGTTTAAATCAATCATTTAATAATTTTATTTGATCACAACAATTTGACAGTTACTATTGGGTGCCTAGTCCTGCACCAAAGATATAAGAGACGGGTTGAAAACTATTTATCACTTACAAAGGAACTATCTACTGAGTCCGTGAATACAAAGGATACATACATTAGTAACGCTGAACGCAACACATATATAAATACAGATAATAGTGAACAAGATACAACGAGAAATAGAGTTAGACCAGCAATTTCATCGCAAGGTAGTTGCACAAGCAACGTAACAGTTTCAGACATTGAAGATTTATGCAAATCAAATGGCAATAACAATACCATACGCCCAAACGAATTGTGCGATTCTTCATATGCGTGTAGCGGTTCATCTCGCCAACATTGCCAAGAACTGGTGCGAGACTATAATCAACAGCAACAATTGGAATTTCAAGAATTTTATAATAGCATACAAAGTCTACGACACACAGTCGTATTAATCCTATTGCTATGTTCTATGTTTGTGGTGTGTATAATTTTATCATAGATTTTTTTTTTCGCTTACATTATATTCGTTTAATCCAAATTCTTATACAGTCGATTGCCTTATCGGTGTGGACCCTAATTATGGAAGGAATGTCTGGCATTTATATAGAATTGTCATTTTTGGAAGCTTTCTTGAATTTTGGACAGGTAATGCTTGTTGCAGCTTGTTTCATCACCGACACCGATGAATTCTGGAAGATTATTGGACGCTATTGGCGCAAGCTATCTCAATTCAATCGAAATCGGAACATACCACAAATGCCAATGCCAGGCTCATCCTCTCCTAGCGCAAGTAATGACAACAAAACAAAAATTATTTGTGACCAGTTTATTCGACATCATCTAGATAATTGCAAATTAGCCATCGGATCAGATCGCTTCGCACACTGTCAACTGTACAAAGAAGCATTTTATGGATCAACTTTTGTAAATTGGCTTATTACAGGTACATTTAGTAATAATATGTTTTATTGAGTCTTTGCTTTTGATTTCACCATAATTCATTCTATTTTATATCTTTTTTATTGAAGTGGGCCTTGCAACCGATCGACGCAGTGCCATTAATTTTGCCAATTATCTGATCGATGGAGACATTTTGCATCACATTAATGACGTAAAAAAATTTTATGACCGTGACATTATCTATTGTTTCAGTGTCTAATATTATATTAGACTTTTTATTTTATTTTTATGATGAATTGTGATATTTATTTTGTTTTCACATAAGTTTTCTCTTCTAATAATATTAAAATATTATGCAATCCATGGTTTGTATGATTTTAATGTTATTTGGAAGAATTTCCAGTATATTTTTGTGTCCTATTTAAATCAATCATAAATGATTTGACTTATATCGGCATATCGATTTCGAAAACGTTACCTAAACCAAAATCAAGTTTTTTTTCTTATTTAAATTTTTAAAAATGTTTTTACTGCATTATTATTGCAACCAATTTATACAAATATATAGTAATGCGATAATGTTTTACAAAGCTGTCTATGAGGAATAGCTTTGATTATGGACAACAATACATTTTATCTTTAGTTTATGTCCAAAGATTTTGAAGATTGTTAAAAATATATGAAAGTTCCTGCATTCTATTCTTATACTAGCTGATAGTGGACTGCAAAATATTGTGAAAATATAAAAATGAATATTAAAAATATCTAAGCGCAAAATGTAGTTTATTTTACAATTCTATTAAAAATGTCATTCTAACCATGGTAAGTAAAAATGCAGAGATTTTCGTAAACAAAACTTTATTAAACAAAATACAGCATTTACAAAGAATAAAAAATATCATAGTTTGATATAAACAAAAACTGAAATGAAATCGAAATTTTCACCATGTAAAATTTGATTTATTCTCACCAAAATTTAGAATGAACTGTACAATATTTTGCAAAGTCGGGGTAGAAAATAATAAATATGTATTACACATATACAACGTGATTGATATAGTGAAAATATCTTTCTACTTTTCATCAAATATTCATTATTTTGGTCAAGTAAGAAAGTATCAATTTTGAGCTTTATTTTGCCTTTTATAAATATTTAAGTACTTAGTTATTTAGTACTAATGTGAATATTTGCAGTTGCATTGTAAATGATATTAACTAAATTGTCAATACATTGTAGCATATAACTAAAACACTTGGACACGATGATTTTCACGATCGCATACCAATATGTTTCCATTTGACATAATGGCGACACCTTCCAAACCTTTGAATTCAGCATCACCTGAACCCCAGGAGCCGAAGGCACGCAAGAAGCTACCGTCTGGATGAAAAATCTGAATCCGATTATTTCCAGAGTCAGCAACACAGATATAACCTTGATCGTCAACGGCAACACCCCTAAATTAGTCAAAATAAGAAGAAAAAATCATTAAATATAAACATTTTCACATAAGCATTTTCTACTCACCTTGGAAATTTGAATTGACCTTCTTCGGAACCTTCTGTACCGAATGTGGACAATACACGTCCATTCACATCAAATACCTGTATACGATGATTATTAGAATCGGAAACAATAACACGATTTGTGTTTGACACAGCTATATAATGAGGATGCTCTAAATTTCCTTCTTCTTTTCCACATGTGCCAAATTTACCAACAAATGTACCATCTGACTGAAAAACCTGTACATATATTAATTCAAAATCATTACAAAATGCTAACTCCATTATTTTTGATAGAATATCAAGTTAGAATTTGATACTTTAAATGATACCTGTACTCTATGGTTTTCTTTATCACAAACATAAATAAAGCCGAGAACATCAGTTGTTACGCCCCATGGATAGTTAAATTTTCCATCGGCTATGCCTTGTGTACCAAATGAACGTAAAAATCTGCCCTGTGGATCCAATACTTGAATTCGATGATTATACCGATCTGCTATTATATACTGTCCAATACGATTGACTGCAACACCAGCTAAACAGTCAAATTCGCCCTCTCCATTCCCATATTGTCCGAATTCCTTAACAAATATACCATTCGAATCGAAAACTTGGACTCTGTGAAATTAACTAAATAAAGTCAGTGTGTTCTTCATATTAAATAAAATATTTATTATACTGAATTGGTATTACCGATGATTTGATGAGTCAGCTACGACTAATAAAAGTAATAATTTGATATTAATTTATGAGATTTTTATAATTCCAAGAATAATTTTATTAATTTTACCGATCGAATTGTCTGGACCAACAGCAATGCCTCTTGGCCATGTAAAACATCCTGGCTCACTCCCCCGGCCACCAAGTTGAAATAATTGGCGTCTCTTTTGCAAGTATTGCGTTCTAGGTGAAATTCTATCGAAAAAAGTTAAATTAATAATGAACAAATTTATATTAATATTAAAAAATTGAATTAAGTGAAATGAGAAATTCACATACCCTGGAACGCCCGTTATACCTGTTGCCGCCCTATTAATTTGAATAATTAATCAATTTTGTGGAATATATTTTTTTTAAGTTAAAATTCATTGACTCCATACAACTTGCATTTACTTACGTAGTGGTAGGGGAGCCTGAAAATATAAAGAATTTTTAAATATATTAATATTTAAACAATAATAATTGCTCCTTAAAAAAAAAAAAAACAATTTATCTAATTTTTGTCTGTGTTTATGAAATGGTATTTATTTTTACCTGGCCCGTTTTTTGAATCGTCATCTGAACTAGCGATTTCATTTGCCTGTCGTAAGGGGAGACCTAAACTTAAACGTCTGGACGCGGAACTATTACTACTCGTGCCTGCTGTTGAAGTACTTGCAGATATGGAGTTCGCATCACGCGAAGAGTCTTTTGATCGGCTACCCTACATTTTTAAATTACACAATTACATTTGATTTACATAAACATGAATGTGAATAGAATTGTAATACCTACCTGACCATATTTATTTTTCAAATATCGCGCCCATGAACTAAGTGCGGCCCCATCTTTATCATCGTTTGCTGTTGATGTTGTTACAGACCGTAGTGGAGATGCTTCACGTGCTTTCAAAGCATGTGATGATCGACTGCGTGCAAGATCGCTGCCACTACTTCCTGTTGCTCCACTTGACAATCCAGATGCACCATAACGTCTAGAAAGTTGTTTTTTTTTTATTTAATTTTAATAATTGTATTGCAATTATTTCTATATCTTACTAATCGTTATGATTTATAACAATATAAAATTACAGCGAATAACTAAACCTGTTTATTGAATATCATCGACAATTTACTAATTTTATTTTTAAATGTTATGTTAAAACACTTTAATTTTGAAGGTAAATAAAAAAAACAATGTATTGCAAATATTATTTCTCATGTATTCAATTCGTACACATATAAAATCAATGAATCAACTGTATGAATATGTTCTATGTAGTCATTGATGTATCAAGCCAAATGATGTTGTTAAAATGAATAGAAATGAAATTATGATAATTGAAACCTGTAGCGTTATAAAAGTGAACAAATCGATCATCATCATCAACAACAACAACAACAAATATCACCAAACCTTGAAGCAAGATAAGCATTTGGACTAGCTGTAGTTGGTGAAACTGGCTGCTCCATTGAAAGTTTTTCATCGTCATCGTTTCCCATTAAATGTGATGAACGACTCCTTGCCAACCGACTGCGTCTCTCTTTTAACGCCAAATATCTTGAACGACCCGTTCCATATTTGTTATCTGAATCCTCACCAGTGTTGGTGTCATCATCAATTGATGGTTGTTGCAAAGCAACCACGGCCGAACTTTTGCTTTTATTCAAAAATCGGCTTTGATAGCTGTGAATTGGTTAATGTTAATCGTTAAACTACTGCATGTCAACCAGATGAATGAAAATGGAAAAAATTGAATTAAGAATTTTTTCAAGAAAAAACATTTTCAAATTATCTAAAATAAAAGCTGCAATTACACTTGAAAAAATCAAAACGAATGTGCGCTCTCTTATTTCAATTTAAAAAAAAAAAACAAAATTAATTCATCAAATTGGCAACAAAATCCAAACAAGTTGGGGACGATGTTCTAAACTACGTACTTAAATTTATCTTTTATCTTGATCGTTTTAAAAACAAATGTTAAATTTTTTCAAAATGAAATTTTAAGCAATGATATTTTTATAAAATTTCAATTATATGCGAGAGCTTGCACCTACTTTCAAACATAAACAAATAAAATCAATTTGAATGGGATATGAAGTAAATGTATTTGTGTTATGTAATTTGTTATCATTTTTAGTACGTGATAACAATATATGTTTATAAAGAGATAAAAATGTTGCACTCACCTACTACTTCCTGATCCATAGCGATTATTTTGATCTTCAAATTCGTTATTTTGGTTTGCTCGTGATCGTGGTGACGAAGTAACAGCAGATTTTGAATCATCACTGTCTCGTGTATAGGTCGGACTACTGTAACCACCCACACGCGAATTATTTACTTCGTCGCGAGTACTGCGTTTTACATCCGTATGTGAATCACGCGATTGTGAAGCTCGGTTTCCATACTTGTCACGGCTAGTACCATTTACTGTTGTATTAGTTTTTGGCATCTGTTGTTCTTCGTCATCATCTGATTCTTCACTAGTACTTTCTTCCTCACTGCTACTGCTTTCGGTATCATCTTTTTTATTTGTTTGATGATTTGGCAAAAATCGACTTTGGAAGGGTTTTTTTTCAGCAACCAACTCGATTGAACCACGTGGTCTGGAAGAAGTCGGTACCTCGGGTTTTGTTGTTTGTTTTGTAGTGCTTTGGACATTCCGTGCGGTAGATGTAACGGTTGTGGATGATGCTGAACTTTCTGTAGATGTTGTAGAATCCGTACTACCAGAGCGTGTTGTTGGTGGTTTTTTTGACACTGACTGTACACCAGCGCTTACGGTTTTTATTGACTGTTGATGAGATGTTATTGAACCATCAGAATCCGTGTCAGCCTGACAAAAATTGACGAGTTGATGTGTGTTGTGTGTTTTGCTTACTAACTATTCTAACGTGTGTACTGATTTAACTAATTCAAATGATTATAATGTCAACGGTGTGTTGTACTTGTGTTTATGCTTTGTTTTCATGGTTTTTTTCCGTTAATATTTCTAAAAGTTTTCTTCTACTGAGGCAATAAAACTCAAATTTGATACTATTTTTTTAAAAATCATTTCTTCATATTCGGAGATTAGCTCATTTTTAATATGCTATCAAAAACTAAAAAAAATATATAGTCTGTTACGCTTAGTAGTGTTTTTTGTATTGTATTTGTCTAATAGTTTGGTTTAACAGATTAAATCGTTTCAATTTAATTTACTTAGATTATTCTGAATTTATTCAGTCTTCATCGAAACTTACCTCAGTCGCATGAGGTGGTGTCCGACGTACAGGTGATGTTGCTGAACTATTATCACTTTCTTCGCTAGCCGTGCTAGAAGAAAAAAAAAACAATGAAGAATAAGTATAAATAAGCAATTTGAAGCCATTTGAGTTACACTCCCGTAAATAAAGTAAATATGTTTGAACGACTTGTCACCTGCTAATGTTCGATGTTGTTCGACTTTTCAAAGCAGCAACACGTTCAGCAATTGGTCTTTATTGGTTTTTCATAAAATTATGATATTGATTATTGATACAAAAGAAAGTTACGCCAAGAAAGTATTGTTTAACATAATTTAATTTGGTCCATACCTTTCGGGTTCAGTTACAGGTGCTACGGGTGTAGTGGTTGTGGTCGATGTTGAACCTTTGTTTTGGCGTTTAATACGATCGATTTCATCTTCCGACATTTGACGCTGAGCTGCTGGTGCAGTTGTGGGACGTTTTGCTTGTACGGTTTGTTTTGGTGTAATTGGCTGTGGTGTTTCTTTCTTTTCTTTTTTTGGTCGATCACTTTCTTGAAGTCGTTTCATAACTCTTGGCGAATCGGCCAAGCGAATGATACCACTCAAATTACCACGCGAAACAAATTCAGTGTCCAAAACACGTTCACGTTCTTTTTCCTTTTCTTTTTCGTGGAAGCGAACAGCACGGTTTTGTTCATTATCTGAATCGTCTTGTTGGTGGCTGCGAACAAATCTAGACCGAAAACGAGATTTTGGTGCGCGAGAAGATTCATCATAGTCGTTTCCGTAATCATAATCATTTCCACCCCTTTGATATCGACTAAGTTAAATAAAAAATAACTTTGAATTTCGCACACTTTTCTTCAATATTATTATGTATTTAGATGTTGTAAATTTTATACCTTCCACTATCATTTCCATAACGTTCGTTGGTTCTACTTGGACGTTCACCAAATTTACGACCGGACAATACAGGTTCATCTTCATCACGTAGTCCACGCTCTTCTTGTTGTTGTCTGAATTGTGTTGCCAATCGATGATCGCTTTTTGATCTCATTAGACCCGGCCCTGAAGGTGGTTGTAATGAACTACTAGCGCTACTTATTCCAGCTGAATGGGTAGTTGGTGTAATGTTCAGATCTCCAAATGTTGCAACATTCATCACCAGTTGATTTGGATCGATAGACATTAAAAATCGCACACGTCTCGTATAGTCAGTATTTTCATATTCAAAATTGCGCAAAAACTCAACCGTGCGTAAGAAAATCTCCTTTGTATCCATTAATTCACAATCATCCCATTCGATATTTTCGTTCATGTATTTATCGGCAACATCACAATTGCTTTGAATATTTCCAATTTCTAGATCGAGGTTTTCTTTTAAAGTTGTCAAGTTTCGCAATTCTGTCATCAAATACCGATCAATTTCGGAGCGCAAAAAATCAGTGCGATCTTTAAGTGCTTTGTTTAAACGACGATAGATCTCCTCAACTTCCTCAGAAACGCTTAAACAATTCGATTGTAAACCTAATGTATTTTTCTCTACAATGGCCAATGAGTCTTGTAGTCTATTGACTCCACGGCGAATTTGACTATTTATGCGTGTGATTTCGCGACGCAATATATCCATATGTGCACTTTTGCAATCTTCACAGATCTTTTTCTCACAGTGGGCACATGGTGACAAATATGACTTTTCCGAGCATACATTACAACGTTCCATTATCTGACCTATTTTTTCAGAAAAAAAAACTTATTTATTAATAGAAGCATAGTTTACCAATTTATTTTCAACTCTCACCTGATGTTGGATCTGGTGGTTCACCTGTGATTTCCATACGTAATTCTAAGAATCTTTGCAGAGTTACATTTGTTGGAAATGCTTGAACACCCTGATAAGGAATGCGATGCTCGGCGCGACATTCAGGACATTTAACTTGCCGACGTACATAGTCAACTAATCCTTCCATACATGGTTCCATGCAAAATGAATGCTGACATGGCAATAATTTTGGATTGCGATACCGGTCTAAGCATACACAGCACGTAAGTAGTTGTTCAAAATGTTCCATTTTTTATAAAACTCTAGAAATAAAAAATGTAAAAAGGAAATAATTTAATTCTATTTGTTTAATTTAAACAAAAAAAAAAAAACGATGAAAAAATTATCTTCGACAACATTTTAGCTGTAAAAAATGAGCTATTTCTGTATAAGTTCTGCGAATTCTTTTCAATGATGATAAAGAACATGAATCATGATTCCGAAAAAAAACATTTGAGTTTTTTTTAAATGCGCAATATACTGTGTGATGATAGTTACGTTTGTGTATATAAAACGGATGTTTTTATATTGCAAAAATAACTTCGTCATCCTGTATGTTTGTCCTTCTGGTTTTACGTACTTTGTGTCATTATGAAACAAAAATAATTGTAAGTATAAATGAACAATGACATTTTCATTGATGATAAATATGAATTCATTTTGTATCATTAACAATATCCAATATTTAATATAGATTAAATAGGAAAAATTATGAGTTTTTATTGAAATGCATGAAGACGCTATACCCTCTATACTCTATTTGAAAATCTTAATGTTTTGGGAATAATTCAGCCGAAAAATGTAATTATAATAATACAGCAAGTATTAATATCGTGATGAAAATCTTAAAATAAATGTTCGGTTGGAATTCGTACTATTTTGATATGTCTTGGTTGCAAACTAATTGTGTGTCGTCACACAAGTGAAAACTATTTATCTATATTTCTTCACTCTTTTGTCTTTGTTTGATTTCAAAGAGAATCATCTCAATTTATTACAGAAAATGTTCACGTACACAGACTTACTCGATTTTGTTTTCTTTAGTTTCTTTGTTCTTATTTGAGTGATTTGGTAATATTCTTTGAAAGAAAAGGAAAATCCTTTTTTTCTCAATATTATTTATTTTTCTTGAATTTATCGAATGTAAACACTAAATAACCGAGTGAAATAAATTCAGATATATCGATGTCGTGGACACGTCCACAAGAACCAATAATTCGATCTTAATAGGATTTCAAACGATTTACTGCAAGGAAATATTAAGTGTGTTTCACTTTATCTACGTTAAACTCGGTTGTTGTACGATCAAAGCGCACATTTAAAGTATTTGAAGTGAGTGCGCGCGCGTTAGCCGTATGTCAGTAAGTTGTTGGTGTATTTGGAAAATAAATGTGAATGTATTTTTAATTATTTTCTCATACGTTTGTAAAGACATCCGATATGCGAGCGCATATGTATTCAAATGAAAAAATTTCATCGCACGAGCGTGCGCGAATGCGTTTCAAAATATAGCGCTGATTGAGTGCAAAGGAAAACTTTTCAAATTCTATTCTATACATAATAGCGTTTTAAAATGTGTTTACATACGTCCGCAGCCTTAGTATATAAATATAAACTGGAAAAAAATGAATGTCTTTGTTGTCATTTTTACAAAATCCGAATTTTAAATATGGCGTCTATTTTTTGTGGTTCCAAATGAATATTTTTAATTCCTGATTAAATTGCGATCTCAAACATGTAGCCAAATTAACATATTTTTTAAAAAATCTTCAGGTTTGATCTCAAATTCGATCGTCAATAATCAATCCCATCGTATTTAAGACCTATTTAAAGCAATACGGTTTTTATTTTTCGTTGTTTAAAGTCAGCAAACCTATATGTTTTTATAATTAAGCCAACATACATGTATAAACTTAAACTCAACTTGTATGTCGTTCAATCTATTTTTAAAGTACATATGTAGGTTTGCCTATATTGTAGCTATAGTAGTCGATTCGTAAATTCATTGAAGGTTGCTATGTTTGTTATTAGATCAATTTTCTAGATTTTAATTCATTCACACTTTTTTCAATAAAAAATAAATTTATATTAAATTTTTGAAACTTCGATGAATCTCAAAAACGAACATTTTATTTTTCTAAAACAGAAAATAGTTTCAAAAACGCCCACATTTGGATGTCTCAATTTTAAAAAAATGTGTAACGATTGTTAAAGCTTTCGCAACATTAGTAAAGTATTTGTATTCATATTCATTTAAAAGTCAACTTCATAATTAGCCTCGGTTTTAATATCAACATTTTAGTTGATTGTTTGAAAAAAGCAAAAAAGTTCTAGTTAAAATTCTTTCCGTTTTAAATATATATGCATTTATCTTGCTATATAATTTAACTAGAATCTTTGTCTCAATTTATAAGATTTCTATGAACGAATGTTATGAAATAGTACATTTCTTATGTTTTTCGCATTCTTTCATTGAAAGTAGATATAAAAAAAAATTTACTTCTAAAAATGTCATACAAAGCATTTAAATCAATGTATGGTTTATCGATTTGATTTATTTTTAAACAGAGTAAAAAATCAAAACTCCATTTTGCAATGATCGATATAGCATACGAAAAAATGATCAGCGTTATTAAAGTAAATCAACATTTTTTATATATATATGTTATTTCTAAAACAAAGTAGTTAGTACTTGTGTTGCTCATTCGAGCACGACGAAATCATGGCGTTTTCAATAAGTGCGTCAATGAATGCGTCATCGTGAAATGATGCGCAGTGCTCACTCATATTCATCTTAATTTTTATGTGCCTACAACATTTTTAAAGGATTTTTGTCAAAAGTCTGACGAAACTGTTTATATATTTTGAAACACGCAATCGCCAAAAATACGATGTTATCGAGCACAAAATGAATGAGGCAATCAATCATGAGTCATAAGCTACAAAATAATAAGATTCTTCTATCTATTTATCTCACCTTTTTCGAATTCAAAATGAAAAAATATAAATCTGTAAAATACAATAATTATTATTTTCATGAACTTACAAAATAAATAAGATAAAAGATATTTCATACATTTCTTGTTGGATGTTCGAAGTTCAACGTGGTTTAATTTATCCGAGGCACCAAATGTGACTTTATTTGCCGTTATCTTTTATTCTTTCTGAAACGAGTATATATTTAAAATAATTTGTATTCTGAGTATTTTTTTATGAAAATGTTTTGAAATATGTTATATATGCTATGTTCACCACAACTATTTTTCTTTTAACCTGTGCCTTCCTCTTTTCACGATGAACTTATTACTAGGATCATGTGTATTGTAATTAATAGTTATAATACTAACATTTCTTCGATTAAGTATATCAAATTCAATACGATTTTACACAATGTCGTGGCCGTCATGGGCGTGATAGGATTTCAAACGGCTAGCTTCATAAATTCGACCTTAATTTCACTGTTTTTGTAATAGAATTTTTATTATCAAAGCAATTTAATCAATTCACGTATTTGTAATCGTTTGCAAGGAACGATTAAAACACACACCCGAACTATTTTTAAACCTTCTAATTTGACAGTTTTATCGACTTTTTTTTTTCAAACTTCTGTCGTGAAAGATGATTGTTGATCGAAGACTTCTTCAAAACTGGTGAAAATGACACGAAATGAATGACTAGAATAGAAATTATTAGTCGCACGCGCACTCTGTGAAATGATCGACTGTTGTGAGACAAAAATATTTTTTTTTTTCGAAAACACACTAATCGTTGTATACAACGTTGAAACTTTTCCCCCGAGAATTAAATGTTGCAAATTTGAAATTGAAGTCAATACTTACTTCTTAAGTACTCTGGCTACATTCAGAATAAATTAGGCATTCCAGCTATTTTTCCATTCGATATCTTAATGTAACTTTGTATGATTCATTTCATTGTAAAAGGCCAAAAAGTAATTATTACATGATGAAATCAAACTTTGATTTTTATCTGTTACTATTACCAATTTCTTTCGGATGAGTTTGATAAATTGAAGGAGATTTCATTTTATTCAAGACGCATCAATTCAAAAACATATAAAGTATGTATAATTAATTTGTGACTTAACAATCTTAATAAATCTCATCAAGATTATGTTACACATTATCGCTATTGTTAGCTTAAGTATAAATCGTTAATGTTGATTGTGCATGCATAGCGTTAGAATGTACGAGTGACGAGACACAAATTTTTTAAATTTCAATTTAGAAGGACTTTTAAACTGAATTGGGCCAAAGATTAAGGAAATTTATTTAATATTAAAAATAAAAAATAAAAAATAAAAAATGATATATGCGAACTTGATGTGCGAATTCATATGCGAACTCGTGTGAAAGATCTTCTGTTATGAAGATCCTTGTTATGTTTGATCAATTATTTTAAAACTTTCTGATATTGTAGAACATGAAAAACATAGCATTTCTTGATTCATCATTGGTATCAACATTCTTTTTACTCGTAGTTCCGTCACTCATTATTTACTTCGATAGAGGTTTTTATTTGATTTTTTTATGCTCCTATACTGTGTGGTATTGAAATAAAATCTATTTAATTTTAGATTTGTGGCACTTTTTGGCAGTGTGTGAGCAAATGAGTATTACACACGTTTTCTTTCTGTAACGTATGTGTAGCTGCGCGTTCTACCGTCTACAACCCAGCCATTTTCAAACGGCACTGAATCAAGTAACTAATTGCATGTATATGTTTATCAAACATTACACAACCAACTACTAGCGACTTTGAATTGCTAGAGGAAAAATCCTGTATGTGTGTGCTCATGTGTGAAATGTACTAAGAGCGTACATTTAAAATACAATCATGAGTTTCGCGCCGACTTTTATGTGCTTTGTTATTCTTGCTATCGAATCACAAAAAATCGAATTAAACTTCATCAGTTTTCGACTGACTCTTGTTTGCTTTGACTGTAATATTGGTTAAAAAAAAGTTGTTGGTTTAAGAGCTTCCATTGCACTTAACTTTATCTCCACAAAGTTCAATAACAAAAAGTAAATTTTCATAACAAATAATTATTTCAATTGAATTCAAGTTTTTCCAATCATTTTATCGATAAGCAATGAAAAAGATAATATTGAAACATTTAATAAGGAAAATGACCAGTCTATGTGCCATTTTACATTGAGTTTAATTCAATCTTGGTGTATAGTATCGATTATGCTCTAGAGCAATTATACTTTTAATGTGACAGTGCCCACACAAATTTTAAGAATTTTGTTAGCTAACAAAATAAATATTTTAAAGTGTGACAATACAATGGGCTCAAACAACGATTTAAATGAAGCACAGCCGCCGAACTCTTGAGCACCGAACAAACTGTATTTAGCATTTTAGCATGTATTTATGCGCCTGCAATGGGGGACTAAGTTTTATTTTATTCTTTCGTTTAAATTGCTCGTACATTTGGTACATTTGCAAGAAACTTTTCTGGTATCTTAGTTTCTAACTAGTTTTCGATGACTGTATGTATGTATGAATGTAAAAGCATATTGTTTCGGTATTTTGGTTATTCAAATATTCAACGAACCAACATCGTCAAGTGAAAAGAATGTTGCATATGAAGAAAAAAAAACATCTTCAGAATGCGGAAACAACTGTCTTCAATTTTCCTTTAATATAATTTTGGCATGCTTCTTCTGACTTAACTACAAATCAATAAATATGAATTATCCAATTTGTTGTATTTACTCACTCTACAGGAAGTTTTTTTTTTGATATTGAATGTTTATTTCGAAATTAATTTATAAAACTTGTATAAAATGAGAAAAAAAATAACAACATCCTTGAAAATTGTACCCTACTCGTTAATATAGTTTTGAACACGGTCCAAAATGTTTCCTTATGTTCCATAATCTATACAAATATCAGCTCAACCATAGATTCTGACGTCCAGAGTTTTAGGAGGGGGTAATTTCAAAAAAAAATTCGAAAAATATGGGGGGTAATTTCAAAATTTTTCGTAAAATCCAATCTCTGAAAAACAACAGAGGAATAGCACTTTAGCTTAAGTTTTTATATTGAAATTGAATAATTCAATACATAAAAGTTGATATGTAACATTCGATTCGATTTGAAAGTTGCTGATTTGACAATTAATCAAGCAAAAATATGATCAAAAATCAAGGGGGTGATTGGTAATTTTTTAAAAAACAAGGGAGTAATTTTTGAGACGTTTTTCAGGGGGGGGGGTAATATTGGCCCTATGGACCCACGTCAAAATCTATGAGCTCAACTATTTGTTCGTTATAAAACAAAAATGGCCACTAATACCGCACAGACATTGACATTTACACGTTAACTTCCTTTTTCTGTCATAGCAACTCTGGAAATAATCAAGAAATGCGATAATAAACAGGATCCGATTTCAATGAATCGTTCCCACCCAACAATTTTTGTCTTTTATTGTAATAGACGCCGAAACTTTGTTATGTCCAATTTCTTAACATAAAATTAATTGGATTGGGAACTGAAACGCACAGACAGCGTCTTTTCTACTACTTAGTGTACACATATTGCACAACTAGTTCAAAGTATGGGCAAGAGTTTTAGTAATTTTTCACATAAGTGTGTTTTCCGGGATTTTTTTTACATGAGGAATTACATTAGCAGTGTCATATAAAATACATTGCCAACACTTTACACGGTACAATTTTGTAAACAAAATATTTGTGTTCAGTAAGAACAATGCATTCTATTATATTCCGTGTGGATGAAGAATACATTGGCAATGCAATTTATTCAGCTCAATACTAGAAATACTAGCAGAATATTTTCATTTTTGTTTTTTATACTAAAAAAAGAAGAAATTAAATGAAACTAGCAAATCAGAAAAATGAAAAATAGAGAAATCCTTAGCAAATTGAAAGAATTTTCCTGATGAGCTAAAAAAAGGTCTTTAATTTTTAATCAAAAACCTTAGAAAATTCGAATAATTTTAACAGGGGGTACTGAACTAAGTATACCAGAAATTCAACGCTATACGCAGTTAACACATACGCATCCAGCTGCTATTCTCAGCGTCATTTCTCAGTAGCGTTTAGTTAGCCAGCATAAGGCAAGGTCTGGTTTTAACATCCAGATTTCGATCAATCACCAACTTTATAAGAATATCAAGTTCAATGATATAATGAAACTATCAAATATATTATATAGCAGCAAGAATATATATGAGCCAAAAGCAGAGCATCTTGATTTGCTGCTGCTCAGCATATAGCTGAGAGCTGAGAAATGCTGAACTCGTGCGGCTAACGCATACGAAACGGATGGCACGCACACATGCATTCTCCCCGTTTAAACGGTTATAAACAGTTGATTGGACGTTCAATTCAAAACTCAAAACTTAGTAACCAGTTGAGTTTGAAATTGTGTTGCGACCGAGATATGAGAAGCTGCGAGAAAAACATCACGTCGCATCCCTCGTTATTTTGCTTACGTAAGTGAAAGCAAGAGATGAGATGCGACGTGCTGTTTTTGCTCTCAGTCTTTCATATATTCTGAAAGTGTACGTCTAACGCATACGAAACGGATGCACGATACATATTCCCCTTTCACTTCGTATGTTCGCTGGTATAGTGTGTAACCGTTGTACCGGCAATAGCGTCAACGGCAGCACATACGAAGCGAAAGGGGAATATGTATCGTGCATCCGTTTCGTATGCGTTAGCCGCACGAGCTCAGCATTTCTCAGCTCTCAGCTATATGCTGAGCAGCAGCAAATCAGGATACTCTGGCCAAAAGTAATTAATATCAACTTTATGAATTAAATTTTATTTTGTTTGATATTGTACATTTATTTGGATCTTCGTCATGCTTTTCATTTTCTCCATGCGCTTGAAACAGCCGATTTCGTAATGGACTTTTGTTGACTTGATACGATAATTGGTTTCCGATTTATCCGATCGAACATATCGTACGCCACCAAATGAGAGATTTTGGCCAACATCGAAACTATATATCACTTCAGTCTTGCGTAATACTTCTTGGAACTTCAATTTTCGTTCTTCTTTGGGTTTTTTCAGTGTTGGTTTTTTGCTGTCTGAATAATGCTAGATATTCGCAGCGGTTGTCCAGCATTGCTGCCCAGATGTTGATTCGATGCGTTCACCGCACGCCGTTGTGTGTGGTAAAAAAAAGTGTGTTCCGCATGCGGTATGCGGTGAACGTATCGAATCAGCATCTAGGCAGCAATGCGCTTCTTGATGTTTCGTTTTCGCTCGTTGACACGTTTTCACGTGGTCACTTTTTTTCTTTCATCTCTTTTGGTTTATTCTGTTCCACTTTTGGTTTCTATTGTGTCTCCGGAATAAATTGTTCATTGTGATCTAACTGATGAAGTAAATGAAACAAAAAAATAATAATATTTAACTTTGAACGGATTTGTTTCTAGTATAATGCAAACAAAAAAACCTTTGTAATCGAAGAAACAAAGGTACAAATCGATGCTAAATGAATTTCAATTTGTAGAAGTACGCCTTTCCATTGTTTTCCCAATCGTTCGGGCGCAAAATGGCGTCCAACAATTCTTGATTCGGTGTGCATTTCGATTCACTTTTGAAAAGATAGTCCAATTTCATGCATTTTTGGATTGGAATTTTTGTGCAATATAAACTGTTTCATACGAGTGCATCCAGGTGTTATTGGCAAAATTGGTTCGGAATTGTTGCATTGCATATCCAAGTGAATTGGCCAGTCCAGAAGTAGACGGTGCTTGTCCATTATGAAATATGCACAATCTCTTCATAGCTGTAAACAACTTGTAGTCATTTGCATTTTCTGATGCAATTGCATCGCAATCGATGCCGCGTTCAAACTTTGAATTCAATCCACAGATATTCTATATAAACAAAACAATGGAATATTCTTTTATTGTGACACTTAATTCTGTTACTTCAAAATTGTTAAATTTTAAATCAATTGTTTGCTGGTGGTTGGCACTTCATATCAAAATCACAAAGCACACACGGTGTTTGTCAAAAAATTGCATATTTAGAACACAGCGATATTTTTCAAAAATATGAGAATGCATCGATTTATTCGTTATTCTCATGTTTCAAAAGCAAAAACAAAACTTCACTTTGAATCAAACACAATAAAAATGGCTATGATGTGTTCGCAACGATGCATTTAATTTGATATCAACAAAATCATCAAAACATAGTTTTTTAATATCGGCTTTTGTGTGCAAATTAAATCTCACATATTATTTCTGAAAAATGATCACACCAATTGAATGTGTATCTTTCCGAGTGTCGTAATCAACGAGTTGTAAATCAACTTTTTCCGGTAACAACCGATATTCAAAAAGGATGACCAATACACAAAACAAAACCGAGATGTTCATTATATTTCTGAGAAACGATTTCGATGTCGCCACACAATGCTTTGTTTATGATGTCTTACAGCACATGAAGCTGATGAAAATACAAACACACGCACACATCCATTTGCTATAAGCACATCAACTTATTGCCCGCTGTATCAAATTCAGTTACACTGTTCACTGTTATTTAAAACAGCGCAAAATGGATAACCAACGACAAAGACGCTTAAAAAGACATTTAATAGAAAATGAACTCTGATGATAGAATTTCATATTGGAAGATATATTTTGAGCGGGAAATTCACAAAAACAAAAACAAATCAACTTAATATTGATATTGATTTTATTTTTATTTGAACTCATTGTTTGAATATTTCACCTAAAACCTATAATACATAGTCTAGAATCTAATTTATAGATGCATTTACTATGTAGAATACAAAATCATTCCATCTAAATCCAAAATTTACAATCAGTTTGTAGAGAAACAGGACATATCAAATTACCTTGAAGACTTTGGACGTTCAATAATTAAAAACTAATTAAAAATCTAAAATCTTTTCTCAGGATTTGTTGGAATGACGTCACAACAACGAAAATCTATAAATTCAACTCTAAAAGCAAAAAAACAAGTAAGATTTAAAAAAGTATTATACATAATTTCACACAGTTATATTTATTTAGTCTAGGGGCTTTTATCTTCAAATGTATACGATTTATACTGTAAATAGTGAACAGTCTATGTATTTTGGATAGATATCCATCCGAGATATTTTAGAATATCTGGATATTTAACGCAACTGCACAGGGCCAGAGCTGTGTGCGTCTCACATATAACCTACGTTATGTCGCTACACGAAAAATACAGACACAGTGTGACTGTGTACATGCGGCACTTGATACACATATACGTAGCGACCTACCGTAGATTCTATTTGCGATGCAAACAGCTCTGGCACTGTGCAGTTGCGTTGAATATCCACATATTCTAAAATATCTCGGATGGATATCTATCCGAAATACATAGACTGATAGTGAACTATATTGCAAAAATCATCTGTAATACGCGCAAATAAATGTGCATAACTACATATATAGTACTTCGACAGCTGGAAAAAAATGCGATTTTTTTCGATTTTTAACAATTTTTTCAAAAATTGGCGCATCGATTTGTGACCATTCTATGAACCGTTTGGGCTCAAAGGTGTATTTTAAACTGTATAAATATATGCATAGGTCGCATTGACCACGAAAACGAACGCTCGTTGACACCTCTATTTGTGACCATTCTATGAACCGTTGGGGCTAAAATTGTGGCTATCGTAGTTTCCCATGGGGACATATATAATATGTGCAAAATTTGAGCGAATTCTGAAACCATGCCCCAAGATTTTGATACATTTCACGTGGAATCGCCGATTTATAAAAGAATATATTTTCCCGAACATTGAAACCTTCTGTCGAAATGTAAAAAACATCATTTTCAAGAGATAAACCACCTGAGCAAAAAATAATGAAAAATAACATTTCAAAATATGGAATGAGTTACACCTTAAGGTGCTTGCAAGCTGCTTGATGGAAGCTTGCATAAAATATAAACAAAAGAATTATCAATTGTATAATAAAAATCAACCCAAATATGATAATTTTTTTTATAATTTAACCTATTTATTATGTTTGGCATACGAAAATTGCATTCAAACGTTGTAGATATCAATGTAAAATGATTGCGTGCAAGTAAAAAAGGCTTTTCTACTTTTAATTATAGAATAGGATTGTGATTCCAATGCATATAGCATGGCATGCTAGATGGCATGGCAATTTTAGAAAGACTTTTATCTATGCCAAAAATGGCTAGGGGATATACATCCAATAATGAATTAGTACGAAAACCCCGTTTTTGTACTTTAGAATAAATCTCTTCAAGTTATAGCAGTTACTGAAGGGAATTTACTGTTTTAAAATGTGTGTTTATAATATAAAAATATAGTTAACCCTCTAGTGCATAGCCCTGCCTTTAGGCAGGGTGTATAAATTATTATCTAAAATATATAATTAAAAACAAATGATTCTATTTATGAATTAAAATATATTCAGCAGGGTTCAGGCTTTCATTTGCCGTTCATTTGACAAGTGAAAATGAAGCGGCTGTTTAACAGAAATTTGACAAAAAAAATTATTCCTCTCTTCGTTTATAGCAATTTTATAGCAGTTTAAACAATGGATTCGATTGTTCTCTAATTTTGTCAATAGCATTTTTTGAGTAAACTATGCAATTTTTTGAATTTCGATTATTTTTTTAAGGAATTTTAAACCAAAATAATCATAGAAAAATAGTTCTCATGTCGAAAAAAAATTAATGCATTAGAGGGTTAAAATGAATGTTTATGTTTTGATTTGGGACTGTCAAATCGTTCAAAACGCTCCAATTCAGAATGAATGAAGTCCCCCTAGTGTGAGCGACTGAGCGTATGTATGTTAGTGTTTATAAAAAATAATATTATGAGCATTTATGTTTTCTCCAATGGAAGTAACCAGAGATTCGATTCAATATAGAATATAAACAAATCAACTAAAACAGATATTTAATGCGTTTTTTTGCGTGAGGTTGCAAACATCTCGTCAGTTAATTCTTTGTGGGCCATAACTAATATTGTGTTTCATTTCAGTTTAATTTGAACGCTATAAGCAAAAATTGTTTTCAAAAATGAATAAATTTATATATAATACTCACATTTGTTTAAAAAAAATTAAGAGAGATAAATTAAAATGAAGATAGATTGTGTAAAAATATAACAGTTAAATGTTTCCTTTATTTTGTTATGGAATCAAGAAAAAACTCATTTCTAACTAAATCAGTGTCATTTCAGTTTGTGATAAAGGTGAATAAACGATAAATGATCTCTAGTGACTACACATGTGTAGACGATTCTGAATCATTTCAACAATTCATAGAACAATTCTAAGAAAATAGCTTATAAAAAATAAACAAAAGAGGTGCAACGTTCTTTGCGTATATTTCATTCTTCGGTTCGTTCTGAAATACGTTCATATATTAATAGATGAGAGTGTTAAACAGTGGAAACAAACGTATGAAATATGTGTGTTTTCATCGAATGAAATGATCGGTTTGGCTTCTGTATTCTCGATATAAATGATTAATCATTGTCATACAGTAACCACTACAACCAGCAGAATGAAAATGGGTGAAATAAAAAAAGAAACGATGAGCAACTTTAAAAAGTCTATGTGCTTTATGTGTTGAAAAGTGTAACCGAGATAGTTATATATTTCGGTTTTCTATTTCAGTGAGAGTACATAGCCTTTAACAATGTTTTGCGCAATGCGCTTCCGTGCGAACAATTTTATTCTTAGTTAATATATCAAGCAAAGAGCACGCACGCTTTTGCGCTAACCAATTTTATTTAATTTCGCAAATATATAACATTGCGAAAAAAAAGTGAAACCAAGATATATTTGAGTTGTGTTCACAAAGCAAAGCATCGATATAAAAGTAGGATTTTAACTGTAATTGGAATTAGTACATATTAATTTTGCTGAATTTGTCTTGAAGTCATAAAAAATTGTGTTCGTGTTTTCGTCTACAAAATGTCTTACTGTCGTATAACCGGAAAAGCGCCAAAAGCAAAACCCAATTACTTTCCATTGCTACCACCAATTTCACCCGCTGACGCACGTCGGTTTTGCCGTATCACTGGCAAAGCATATGGATTACCAACACATTGTTATATTCCCGTGATATTAACGGCTTTTTCAAATAAGTCCAAGTGCAGGATTACCAACTCGGAACAACCGCACCACCATTACGAGCCCGATTATGAGTATGGACGACGAAAACACATTATGCTGGCCGATTATCGATATATGCTGCCAGTACTTGATGAAACGAATGATAAACAAAGAAGTCTAATCGAAATATTAAATTCAAAAGATGTGCAATGTGATGAAAACTATTTCATTTATTCAATAAAAGAACAGAAATGCAATTTAGTTTTTCCAGCACATTTGGAGGCTGCTGTTAGAGATGGTGATGTGCGAGATGTGATGTTTGCAAAAACAAATGATTCGGTGCTTTTATATATGAAAAAAGGCAAAAGTGTGTCGCTGGATTTAAAAGATTATGAAAATGAAAAAAATCTATTTGAAGGAGAAGGGCCAAGGTGTGATGTAGTTATAGCTCGTCAAAAAGAAGAAAATTCATCTTATCAAAATGGATCGAAACGTAAGAAAAACGGATTACAAAAAATTAAAACCATTGATGGCAGCGCTTGTGTATCAAAGGAAATAACGTCAATCACAAATGATGACCATTCACAACATACACCAAGTGATGAAATTAAATCATCAAATCAAATTGACACCGATAAAAGTGATTGTAAAGAACAAAAGCACAGTGAGGCACAAAATCGGGATTCACTTTTAAATAAAAACGTAGACCTCAATGATGCCAAGCTATGTGAATCGATTCCAAATCAAAGCGAAATTCTCAAAATAATGCAGAATTATACAAAAGGGACGGTAGTTCATGACAGTTCAAAAATTTCAAGTTTATCGATAAATATTGGAACCGATGAAATACCAAGAAATGTCTTAATACTTGGTTGCATTGTTAATACGGCAGACGGTGATGTTTTCGTAGCTGGACGGACGGTTTACACCGAGAATGGTTTGTCCATTTTTGAGCCCGGTATATATGTGCAAAGCAAAAATGGACCAGCTTTTATACCAGGGCAGATCGTATATACTGAGGAAGAAGGTAAACAAAATACCAATTTAATGAAAATAAACGAAAGAGAACCTTAGATTTCTTTGAAAGAAAATTTGTAAATTTTTTTTATTTAATTTTGGTGTTCAGGTGAAGAACGTTTTTGCCCTGGACAAATTATTGACACCGAATTTGGTCCACGTTTCGTCCCAGGCAAAATTTGTGAAGTCGATGGAGAAGTCACATTTACTCCAGCTCAAATTGTTCAAACTGATCAAGGTACTATATACAATTCTACTTACTTCTACAGTGTTTCCATTATTTACACAAATTCCATTTGAATTATTGTTTTTTTTTTCGTGTCTCTGTGTGTGTGTTCATAAAACAGGACCAAAATTCATTGCCTCTGATTTACAAGATGATGAGAATGGTGAACGTAAATACTCGGTACAAAGTTTTCTTTTGTTTCCGGAAGAAATGACTTTGTTAAAACCAATGCATATCTGGACGTCTCATTCAACAAACGGAGATCAAACTATAGATATTGATATGAATATGTTTAATCATTTATCTGAGGCTGGCATAATTGTTGGTAGTCAAATTGAGGTGATGACAGATGTTGATGTAAACGCTCTCTTCCAAAAAACCATAAACGAACAAGCTATTCGGAAACTGGCGGGATATTTGGGATACAATGATGCAAAACAATCAACACAAATTGCTAATTTTGAATGTATTTTTGAAAAAATTCAGATTTTTATTAATATGGTGCAAAAAAATCCGCAATATTTTTTTAGTATCACAGGTAACACCATAAATAACAACAACAACAACAACAACAACAACAACGACGACGACGAAAATGTCATAGATTTTATAAAAACGAGTGCAAATACAACTAATGCAAATACTGACTTAAAATTGATTAATATAATATCAAAAACAGTGCTCGACTGTGTCCTATATGAATCAGAAGTAGACACATTGCATGATGGTCAAAAATTTCCGTTCAAAAATAATCTTTTCTCCTATGAAATTATTAGTCAATGTTTCATAAAAAATCTTAAGCAATATAGCGAACAATTTGATTCATTGAAAGATTTAGAATGCTTCGAGAGAATTGAGAAATTACTTTCATCGCCAGAAATAGCGTCACAAATCAAAAATAGCGTCAAAATGTTAGCGGCACAGAATATCAAAGTAAATAAAATAGACATGATCAAAGCGATGATAAATGAAAGGACCGAAGAAAATAAAACAGACATTTTGGAAAATATTCGCATTATTATGGAAAACGATGCCATAGATGAGTTATTTGAATCCGTACACAATCTCATTTATCACGAGCCGTCCTTAAAGCTACAAATCATTACTGAAATGCAAAAACAAACAAAGAATCTTACAAATGAAAATTCAGTTGTTGAAATTTTAAGAAATTGTATTGTTGCAGCTGTGCAAAAAACGACCAGTAATGATATAAAACAGATTAATAACTCCCCTGGAAATGATACAACTGAAAAAATAAATATATACCTTACAGATACAATATCGTTGGCTAGAGCGCTCGGCTTTACCGATTGCATTCTAAACTTGAGCAATATAATAAATAGTGATGGAGATGTTATTGAACAGCTAAATAAAGATGAGAAAAGCTATGAATTGTTGCAAAGAGTAATTGTGATGCATAAATTGTCTAAAAATGATGAAATACGAGAAAAAGCGTTGGAGCTGCTTCGCAAAGATCCATATTCATCACGTAATGATATTAATCTGAGAGAATTATTGCGGTTATCGGGAATTTGTACAATAAATTTGACGAAGGAAAATACGATAAAAGATTCAAACGATATTCCCATTTCTCTAATATACTCGGGTAATCAATTAGCGATACAAGACTTTTTTATGCGAACACAGTCAAAGCCAAGTGGTCCAATTTTAATTGTTAAGGACCGTTTCCAAGCAGTAGTTCCCAGGGAATCCAGTCGTGATGTATTGACTGGAAAATGCTCTTATAATGTATTGGATGAGAACGGAATTCGTCATTTTGAGCCATTGCATATGTTCACAGCACTCAAATTGAAAAATGTAACTATGTTCGAGGATCGATATTCATCATATTCTGCACAAAATAACACTAATAACAAAATAGAAAAAAAATATGACATTGATATTGACAGCATATTAAATATGAGTGCAATAGCAACAGCATCAAGTAACGGTTTCATCACATATAAATCCACTATTTTACCTCGAAAAGAGCTTGATAGCCTTTGTATAACACACCGAAATTCTTCCCATCAAGTAAACTACAGACGATCATTTTATTTGTGAATTTACATTATATTTAATTAAAATAGCACTTGGTTTATTTTTGTTAATTGGAAATAAATAAAGCAAAAAATGTATCATACGTGTAATGTTCTATTTATTCATTGAATTTTTTTATTTATGCATACCTGAAAAACAAGCAATCAGTTGTCGTGTCATCCTGTACCTGACAAGCAAAAACATGAGATTTCTTTTCTTTGAAACACATCTTTATTACAATGAGTCATTTTGTGTGATGTGTTATAAAATAAAAATAACCTTCTTTGATAGTTATTATGACAGCCTGAAATTCAAATAACAAAAACAAAAAATCATTTCTATTTTACTCTGAAACAGAAATCTTTTTTGACAATTATTGCTTCTTTTTCGTGCAAAAAAAAAAAAAAATATTTACAGGGTGTTTTAAGTTTTGTAATCCAATTTCTTTATTTTGTTTATTATTTAGAACAAAGTATAGTATAACTTGTCAAAAAAACAGATAAAAAATTATACCTCGAATACAAATATATTTAATGTAATGTAGAATTAATGTCTCTTCTGTTTGCCATTTATTGGAACACCCTTTATTATTATCTGATGTTGGCCATTCGCCAATTTTTATGGCAATGTTTCTTTCATTTTGATGTTTTCATTAGAATTTTTTTCTCATAAATCTCCATAGCAAATGCTCCTAAATACATCGCCTAAAGATTTAAACTAATTGCATGTATTTATTTTCTGACTCATAAAACCAAAGAAAATCAGCAGCGAAAGATTTAACAAATGTAAGAGATTACGTCAAATGAGGTTATGCACCCGTCGTTTTTATGCAATAATAAATTTTCAATTTACACATCGATTCAGTCACGCTTGACCAACAAAAACGTCCGTAAAATAATTTAATTACTTGAAAAAGTTAAGCTTTGAAAGTTTCGCAGCCGTGTAAAATTGTACATGCTCGTTTCTAAGTAAACTAATTGAATATTCACATATACTCATCTCAAGCAAATTTAACGAACATAAACGTTGTTTTTTTGTTGTCTGTAAATTGGTAGGAAATCGTTTGTCAATTTCATATAACAAATGTGAGGCAACAAATTGGTACTTTTCGTTAATAAGGAAAGGTAAAGCTATAAATGTGATTTTCAAGTATAAATCTAAAGAAATTCTAGATTTTTGCAATAAAAAAATAGTTCAATATGTATGTTTCACATCTTCACCAAATTTAGAAACAATAATAACAATTCAAAAGACGCCATTTACAAGACCTTAATGATCGTGACCTTCCTCGGATTTCTGCGGACGTTGAAGCACAAGTGTAATATGAGAGCGGTTAAAATTGCCTTGGTCTCCAAATTGAGATCATTTTTTTTAAACGTCTCGTGCAATCGATCATTTGAAATGTATGTCTTAAAGAATTGCGGATTTTTTTTATAAATAGAAAGAAAAGGTTGAAAATAAAACAATATGACATATGTTCATATATGTAGAAATGGGAACTAAGATTGAAGAAACGAATGTGTAAGTTATGCAGCTGGGATGTTCGAAAAGTATATCTTTTATAAATAGGCCTTTTTATTTTTAAATGGCTTTGGAATGACATTGATCAATGAGGATGTTTGAAGAAAGAGAGATTTACACCATACTAAATCCAAATCGATTGATGATCATATAAAAGAACAATCAAAAACAAAGTAAAGGTTTTCGCTAATTTTGTAACTGCAAAAATTGTTGAACTAGTAAACAACAATATGTCTACAATCTGTCTTTTCTTAGGTGTATGATATATTAATAGTTAATCAAAATTTTGTCGGTGATGGACCGGGTTCCCTGACGCTTCGACGCGGTGATCTGGTTGAAGTGCTTGATATGAAATCAAAAAAAAACTCAGGAGAAGAACAAGATATAAATGAAAAGTAAGTTTGTTTTCCTTTTTTTTCAAAAACAATAGTGAATTTATTTAATATACGAAAAAAGCAATACATCAAAACTAATCAATTCTACGTTCCTCAAGATATATAGTTATATGATATTCTGGCATAGTGTAAAATGGATTCTCTTGGCAAAACCGCTAGCAAAAAAGTTGATTTTTTATTTCACTCGGAAAAAATTATATAGGGGAGGGGCAGAATTTGGCTCAAAAATCCTTAGCAAAGTAATTGAAAGAATCTAGGGTACCCAAGAATTATTTTAAGGGTCCGAATTTTTTTTATAGGGGTTGATCCGAACCCTAGGAACGCTCGTCAACACCTATGATATTCTGTTATAATCTGGTTTAAATGTCGTTGAAATTTTTTTTTTCAAATATGTAATCAGTGTCCTATAAAAGAACTGAATTGTTGCTGTGAAAAGAATGCTCTTATTTTGTTCCAAATAATAGAGCAACAAATCTATTTATAAAAAACCGTCTTGCTACAGTCTTATGTGGAGCAAAGTAAGAGTTATTTTTGCCGTAACGTCAAGTCCAGTTAAATAATTATAAACATCGGACACAAATTGTGTGGAGTTTTTAATAAATTTTTCATTAAACTATTGATGTGTATTGACTTAAGGTAGTTTTAAGTGTAGCCATTTGGGAGTACATCTACTTTGAAGTATATATAGAAATGCTGGATTTTCTTGCATAGATAGAATTTGGTAAGGCGCTTTTGTTATTATTGATGAAATACAAAAGGTTGTAAGACAAAATCATATATTAAATTTATTCGAAACGATGTATAATAAATTTAACTAACTAACGAAAGTATTAACAATATTCAAACCAAACCGCAAAGCATAAAATTCAGCAATTCCTCTAGCTCGGATAAACGAATTGAACTATTGCCAAAATCTAAATTAGCACTAGAAAAACTAACTATTACCACGATCAAACCGATTTTAATTTTTTTACAACAAATAAAGCAAAAACAACTACTTCAACGTGAAAAAACCATTTACATAGTTGGCGTTATAGCCATTCAGCAATGAAACAAGAACAGATTGAAAAAAGGATTTATCTTATTTTCATGTGTAACAGAGAATACCGTCAGATAAATCAGCGTTGAAAGTAGCGCAATCCTCCTAATTCATTGATGGATCTGTCAGGGAAACGGGTAGTGGTTGCGGTTTGTACCGTGAAACAGAGAATGTTACCCTGAGACAAATAACAACAGTCAGACAGGCTGAAATATCCGCAATTTTTCATTGCACGAACAAAATATTGGGGGTCGCTGAAGAGGGAAAGATGGCCATTTTGAATATTTCCTTTTTGAATATATGTTCAACTCCTATGTCCAAAACTTACTGCCATCACGATATTTTGTTCATATTTATAACGCATTCGATTTCGTTGAAGAGCTCATTTCTTTTTAATCCATATTTTTACAAAACTCTGTGTACACAATTTACTAGTAAAATACACAATAATTTTAAAGTAAAATGTTGGCGGTAAATTTACTTTTTACTATGGAATCTATGCAGATTTTCCTACGATCAGATCAATGAAAAAGACATATAGCTCATCTACTAATTTCCAAAAATTGAATTGATATTAAATTACAATCTGTAATATTAAAAAAAATGTTTTTTTTTATCATATTATTTTGTACGTATTTTTCGAAAAGGGTATACAAGCTACAAGGATTTGAATTTCAATTGAATCTTTCTTGAGAAATGCAAATTGATTTCTCTTTTACACTAAGTAACAACATGAACAACAATCACTGAACAAAATATCACACATTTCTCTCGAATATCATTTTAACGTACATAAACACCTCGACACAACAACGTTTAATTAAATGTTTTACACATCATTAGATATTATTATTACTTGATACAAATATTTAATAGCATTCCAATTTCCGATGGTAGGATTTTTAATTTTAAATTTAATTTTTAAGCGTTCTTTCATGTGATATTTTCAAATAACAATGATCGCAAGATTCTTTCTAAAAAAAATAAACATAATAAAAATGTATTGTGAAAATTGTAATTGCTGGTCTTATATCACACATAAATTGCAGATGTTTTCCTTTTAATATGCAACTTTACTTGATAGGTGGTTAGTTCGGGTTTTTGACAGTATTGAAACTATGAAAGAAGGATGGATACCAGCTTCGCTTTTAGAAAATATTGATTCTGAACAACAAGCAGATGAAGCGATTTATGGTGATCGATGTGATGATGCAGCTTATCGTCGACAGTACGTCTTAAACTATTAAGTGTTTTGTATAGTTATTTCGATTAAATGATTTCATTTATCTTATTTGTCATTTGCATATTTTAGAGCGGTCGTACGCGAACTGATTGAAACAGAAGAAGAGTTTGGACGTGATTTAACGCGCATTGTTGACAACTATATCAAAACAGTCGAAAACAGTAAACCACCGAAAATTGTGTCAGACAATAAGGATTTAATTTTTGGAAACTTCAAACAGATTACTGAATTTCATAACACGTATGTTAAACAAATAGTTTGTTTAAAAATAAATAATTCATTATAGAATACTATAAGTACGTTCCAATATTTCAAAATAAATAGAAATAGAATAAAATCTTAATATTTAGATTTGCATTTTTCTTTCAACAAATTATGCACAATTAAAGAAAGAAAAATACAAATCTTAATATTATTCAAAAATACGCGAAATACCTTTACAAATAAAATTAAAAATAAAATCTGTCTATTTTTAATAATAGTGGTTACAAATAATAGTAAGAATCGATATTTGCCATAGGGTTCTCATTGAAGGCGTTAAATACCATTCAGACCAGCCCTGTCTCCTTGGAAAAACATTTTTGAGATTGGAACGAGATTTTGATAAACATGTAATCTACTGTCGTGATGAGCCCAATGCTCAAGAATTTTTACATGAACGCAAGGAAGTTCGAGAATATTTTCAGGTATATAGAAAAACCAAAAATCCAATGGAAAGAAAAATGAATGACGCTGCGCTATCTATGGTCTGAATGTGAAAAGTTAAGAGAAGAAGCTTTGTGCTTTCGTTTTTCAAAACAATCTGTTTCGAAACTTATTCAAACAATCAATAGTAGATTGAAAATGTTGTTTACTTTCCTACAATACATACTTTCAATTCATGTCATTCTCTGACGCTGATCGTGTGGCTAACGAATTTTTCTCGATTCGCAATTTGTCTCGAAAAGATATTTTTGCTATTTTAAGTGCGTTCGACATAAAATTAGGAAACAGAGAAATAAAGAAGATATTTGCTGTTAGGCATGTACATGCAATGTGCATTTACCGTAGGTCAACCATCCTACAAAAAAATTCACTTCCTTTCCTCCTAAATAGAATTTTTATTACTTAGAGGAATATCCAATTGAAATATGTTGAAAAAATGAGTTATAGTGAGAGGGTTTTTAATCGCTAATTTAATTAATAAATTGTGATTAAGTTTACATACGCGATGAATTTGGAAAATATTAACCCGCTAATCCATTGACTTATTAAAATCTGAGACGATCAAATTAAATTTAGACCCCAACCGTCTTACTATACTTATACACTTCTGTAACTATACACAGAAATGAAATACAGCAATTTGCTACACTCAGCGTTCCATCATATGAATGAAGGCATCACGTTTTGATCTAGTGAAAATAAATATTGTTTTTATGCGTGTGTTTGATTTTCATAGTTTACTCACAGTAAAAAAAAACATTTCATTTCCATTTCCCAATCTAAAAATATCCGAAAATCATTTAATGCCGTAGGCAATTGTTTGGGTTTTCAACAAGTAAAAAACATACAAATCAAAACTATCTTTATCGGTAAACAGAGAAATCATTCATTGTAAAGGGCCCTATTTTTACATTTTTTTTTTTCAACAACGTTTTTTTATTAAATTATTTGGTTAAAAAACTAAAAACAATTTTAAAAAAAGTAACCTTAAACTTAAATAATTTGGATCATTTGGAAAATTTGATGTTGTCATAATATAAAAATGATACATATTCAAAAACTAATAGAGATTTAGTATGAATCGACATATATCATTAATGCGTTTATATACGTTTTTTCAGTTGTGTTTTGGTTTCCGATGTGATGGGCACTGTGCCAAAATGTTTGAAAAACAAAAGTTATTTGTGACGTTGTGTGTGCAACCACCAAAAAATTCAATATGCCAGCAAGTAAAATCTGACATTTTACATTGAAATATGCGGCGATGTTTTTTTTAATTATTCATTTATTTTTCTTAAAACAAATATTAAAAAAAACTGTTCAAATTTCGTTCAATATTTTGTTTTTACATGAATTTGTATTTTCCTTGATCGGCCCATGCATTCCACAATATATGGGTGTGCAAAGTAAAATCATCAAATAGGTCAGGAACTTCAAGAACTATTTTTGTAGTATGAGTTTCTCCCATCGAAACGAAATTTGCTTCCTCATCCCATTTTGATGTTCATAAATTTAAAAAATGTTAAAATTTACTTACAACATCTACATAATAAACGTTTGTTTCTAATTCATTGCAATTTTAATTGAGCTTTCAATATTTCCAAAAATCTCTTTTCAATTTTATTGATAAGATATGTATCAGATATTTATTTTCCTTGTAAGATTTGCTAAAATGATTCAAGAGTGTTGAAATTCAGTGTTTTTGAGCTACTCATACGCACAAAAAAGAGTGTACGGGCGTACGCAAGTTATAGCCTGTTGGCTGAGCTAAATTGATTGAAAAGCATACATGTATAATATCATTTGAAAAGCAAAAATATTTTAAATTTAGATTGTGGGCTTTGTGAAACTTGCTCACACATTGTCATATTGACTAGTCTAGTCGTTGCTGACTTCTTCTAGTGGAAAGATCGTGCGCAATATAACAACAAGATCCAACCACTCTCGAACAATCGATAAAAAAATTCTGTGCCACGCGTGTGTACTTCTGTGTATGTGTGTTAATAACTAATCGATTTTTTAAAAAAGCAATATTAGTGTTTATAACGAAAACGAATATCGAAAAGTCCGAAAACGCATTCAATTGTGCATACAAGAAAGCAAATAAAAAAATATAGAGAAAAAAGTTTATGAAAACGATATCACCTGTGGGATTTAATTTGGATTACCTTTGATCATATTTGTATAACATCGATTCACAACTGTATATTGAAAAGGTATTTAAATTCATTTGCATAGTTCCATTTAAAAAGAAATTGTACCGATTTTTCCTCCATAAAAGTTCAATTGATGAGAGTGCAAAAAACGTTGAAACGATATTTCTGTGTATGTGACGGAAACGGCAATGACGACTACTACGACGATGAAGATAAATTCGGGAATCGCCTACAGCTTTTCTTTTATTATTGGTCATGTTCATTGAGTTGGTGATATAATAGTCTGTTTCGATAAGGAACGCGTAACATACCACCGAATATGATTCACATTGATTGTTCACTAGTATTGACATTTGTGTGATTGTGATTATATTATGTGAAATAATACATACACCGATCAATTGTAGTGATTTTCAAAACATGGATGTGAAGAGTTTTTCATTCAATTTGAGTTCCCAATTTTAGTTTTAACATTATTTGAAGTTTCTGAAAAAAAAATCAAATATTTTTCTAAGGAAAAAAACAACCTCCAAAAAGAGTATTTCTTTACACATCTATTTCTTCGACTGGTACTTAACAATTTTAGTTCGTATTGTGTCAATATCAAATGAATTATGAAAATTACCTTTTTTATATTTCCAACTTCATCTCATTTCGTCGTTAAACTAATCTGTGTTTTCATGCGTCTAAAAATAGATTCCATTCAGTTCGAGTATATGAAATTTACATTCAAATCAAATAAATAATGAAGTAAAATCTCTCCAATTGAATAATTGTTATTTAATTTTAGGACCTTTCACAAAAAATTGGTGACGAAAAAAGTTTATCTGAACATTTACAATTGCCAATCCAACGAATCAACGATTATCAGCTTCTACTCAAGGTCAGTTAATGTTTATATCTTTCAATAACTGTTTTCTTTTTGTTGGCATGTATTCATGACATCATGAAATATTTTGAAATTGCAAAATATATATATTTAATTTTATATGAGTTTGATCTCACAATCCGGGACAAAAATTTCAGCGACCGCAAAACATTTGTGCGGAGGCTGCTTTCAGAATATATTGAATATGTTATAACTTTCTTTGCCATATTATATTGTGTATGATAAATAGATTTGACATAAAATACATGAGTGTTTACGAGTCGCGAAATTGTTGTCTTTTCAATGAAGTTAACCGGCAACCAAATTCACAAGAATATCGCACTATTCATATTTTAAAAACGCTAAAATGCAGAGCTTCAGCAAATAACACTAATACCAAGAATGATAATGAATAAAAGAATTTATTTGACGTTTTTAGGTCATCGTAATTTTTTTTTTAACAAATTACTATAACTGTAGATAAAAGCACTTTACAACATACTTATGTAGTATTTTACATATATTCGTCATGAATTTCATCCGATCCAATATCAGTAGTATATTGTAGAAGTGTACCTGTACATTTTAAACACATAAATTTTCATATGTACAAATCAGTAGCAATTTCCATACGAAAAGAGTATAGCCACCGCGAGTTGATATGGAAAACAAAAATCGTTAATTGTGTGAATATCATAGAAAATCTACCGAAAACAATATAGTCAGAACATTCGTATATAAAACCGTTCTTCACAATGCCGTTCAAATATGCACCCAATTTAGACAAATATTGTATTCCAATCGATTTGATTTATTAATGATAATTAAATAACCACACGATTTTATAGGAATTGGTGAAGTATTCACAACGTCTAGGAGAAAATGTGTCGGATTTGCAAAAAGCTCTCGAATTGATGTTAAGTGTTCCACATCGTGCTATTGATAACAAATTCTTAGCAAGTATCGAAGGTTTTCGAGGTATGTTGGGCACGATCTCATCTTAGCCATATTTAAAAAAAAACGAACAAACAAACACACGCTCATATTTTTCAATCCCATTTATATATCAATTCAATTCAAAGATCATAGTAAATACAATCGCATAAATACTTATACTGTCTCTATTATTCTAAATCAATTGACGTGGGTGAATTATAAACGAAATGCCATACATTTTAGGCAACATACATAAACTAGGTCGTTTACTGGGCCACGAATGGTGGACTGTTACCGATAAGGACAAAAAGGCCAGAGAACGTTATCTATTTTTATTTAAATCAAGAATCTTAGTGTGTAAAGTTCGTCGTATATCTGAAGATCGCTCTGTATTCATACTAAAGGATATTTTCAAGGTATTGAATGTTTATCACTGTCATCATAATATGTATAAGATATATATTACATTTCTGATTGAATTAGTTACCCGAGATTGACATCGTTGATCAATCGGATGGTGTAAGCTTAACCATTAATGCAAAAACAAATCACCCCAATAATCGACTTCCATTGATATTGACTGCAAATCAAACTGAGCTGAAAGAATGTTGGCTGATAGAAATCAACCAATACGCGACTGATCCATTGACATTACATGAGCATAACGTTGATGACTTGCGTGTTGATCCAACACAAATTAAACCTGATTCAGAATATGAGAGTTTTCATTTGCCAATACAGCGAAAGGCATCGTATGAATCAGACGGTATAAAACCTTCATCAGTAGCTAAAGATTACTTTTTGTCTGAAGAAGAAAGGGCATATTACGCAAAACAACAAGCCGAAGATCGAAAGATTCTTCAGCAACAACAAAAAGAATTTGAACAACAAAAATCACTGACGGCAACCCTAATAAAAACTAAAACAAAAGCCCAAGCTCAGACGCAAGGGCAAGAAAAAGTGCCTGCACCGACACAAGCAGATGTTCAACTAATTGCACAACAAAGTGAAACAAAAGTTCCGGAAGTCGAAACTTCAGCTAAAGTTAAGAGTGTAGAAAAACACGTGAAACTAATTCGTAGCACTGCCATTGAACAGCAAAGTGTTGAAAGTTTAGCTCAGTCAATACAATCATCGACAAGTACCGAAGTAACTGCAAAAGTTCCAGCTGAACGCAATAAAGTTGAAGTCGTTGTTGGAGGTTCAAAACAAAAAGATTCCATCAAAACAAAAGAAGAAATTAAAGTTACAGAGAAAATCGAAAATTCAAAACAAATTGCACAAGAAGCAGGTAAACAGGATAGCGTTGCCTCTCAAAAACTAGTTATCAGTAGTGAAGATAGCATAAATCAAAATATTTATCAAAAAGGATTCAATGTTGATGATAAGAAATTAACCTTTGCTTCGATTAATACTAATAAAATAGCGCAACCAATAACAATGCACGAAGGCAACACAATGAACGCTTTAAATATGCTTACTAAACAAATGCCATCCGATAAACGGCAAGCGGCCGATACTAATACAAATGCTAATCAAAATAAAAATGATAATCTCACATCTACGCAAAATAATCAAAATGCTTTATGCAAACAAACACCACTTCATCGCTTGCAAACCATTTCGATATTTAATTTTGGCGATAAGCCAGGTGCTCCTGGACAGCCGCCAATATCGAATTTACCAGATTTCTTACTGCCGCCCCATTTAATTACATATGAAACATCAATTGAAATTAACTTTCGAAAAATACCACCGCCACAACCACTGCCACCGCCAAAATTCATTAAAAAAATGCTTGTGCATACGGAGAGCTTAGAACGTCGAACACGTGCTTTCCTCACTGGAAAATTTGAAGTTGGTACAACCGATAATTCGCTTCGTACTGCACGCCAGAAAATTCGTTCGTTAAAATCGACCATATTAAAGTCGGATGATGAAGTTAAGCATGCCGAAGATACTATAAATAAGGCACAGTCTGGCGATTTTCTCAATATCTTTGCTCCCCCAATTGTAGAACCGCCACTATACGAATTTATTGAAGTACCATCGTCGCAACGATCGGAGGATGAATTGTCAGAAAATTTAAATCATCGCAGCGAACGGGGTCAATCAGTGCAGCAACAGGAACTAGAAAACATGGAAGACTATTATTCTTCGAAATATTCAACACGCTCATCTCGACGCCGAGTCGAAGGTAAATTGTGTGTGAAATATCAAATTCAACTTATTTTTTAAAACATAAAATTGCCGCATTGGTCTTGATTTTCACTTCTAAAAAATATAATGAAAAAATATTTTTAAAATATATACTCAATTGAATGTTACGATTTGGATTGAAAATGACTGAGATGTAAAACGTTTTATTTTCAACCAAATTTTAATGATGTGTAGATGTAGTTATTAGCTTTGCAATTATTATATTTTTACATTTTTACGTTGTGGTTTGTTTCTTTTTTGTTTCAAATTGTAAAATACACACAAAAATAAAAACACTTACACACTTGAATGAAAAAAATTCCAATATACGCATACACCTTAAATATTTGATACATGAACATCAAACCATAGTTAGTGGCAGTGGAAATGGTAAAAACGAATTGGGTGGTTCAGCATATGAAACAAGTAGCTATGGAGCAACGAGACATAGTCGCTACTCAGCATCACGGACTGAAGAGCGAATCACATCGAACGGCAATTTGAATGCAGTTTCATCATCCACTAGTGCCACTAGTTATTTTGCTATCACAGGGGAGGAGGGTGTTGGAAAACCAGTTATTAAAAAAACATGCAAAGGCGTCACCATCGAACGTAAGTATATACACAATATAAATTAAAATCCACAATGAAGAACAGTGCAAAATAAGAAAACTTCATCCATGAATGGTCGTCATTATAAATACTCTATGGTAAAAATGTCAATGCCTAATTATTATATTTATTATTATATAATGCTAAATCAACTGAAAGTAATGTTGTAGTTTAGATTTATTGATTATACCCGTGTTGTATATGTAGTTTGAAATTGTGATTTCATGTCTACCGAAAATGTATAACATATTTTATTTATATTGTATTAAACATTTCAGCTGGTAACAATGCATCATTCGAAATTCAATTGGATGATAAGGCAGGAACTATCACTTGGCTTAAAGATAATAAGCCACTTGACGATCGTTTAGCTGACCGTATATCAACATCTGAATTACCTGGAAACTATTATTGTCTGGAGATTAAACATTGCTGGTTAGAATTCGAACGCAGTATTTTTGAAATTCTTAAATATGAATTATACGAATTAAATGTTTACTATTCATTATTTCTTCAATGTTTTAAATGAATTAAATTGAATTTGGATTTCATGTCACTAATAAAGACTGCTACTATAATTACAGTGAATCGGATAGTGGATTGTATACCGCAAAAGCAAGCAATGGTCCAGATTCATCAACTTGTTCCGCACAATTGATAGTTTGCGAAAGTAAGTGAACACGATATAACTTGTATAAGTAATGATAAATTTGATTGAATTATTTATTTTTAGAAAGTGAAGAGGAAAAAAAGAGTCTCATCGAACAAAATATACCATATTTTGCAATTCGTCTCACTGATACTGAAGTCATGGAGAATACATTTTTACGCTTCATGATAAAAGTGCTTGGTGAGCCAAGACCAAAAATTCAATTGTAAGTAGAACAACATATTTTCATATATATTTTCTCTTCTAATCCCATCAATTTCATTGACTTATTTGTGAATTTAGCTACAAAGATGACACATTGATTGATGTAAACGATTCGCATATTCAAATTAACTCTGAAAAAGATTACTTAGGCTCTTATGAGCTAATTATTCCCGAAGTAAAGTACTCGGATGCTGGAAGATACTTTTGTACGGCCATAAATAAATATGGAAGTTCTAATTGTGAGGCCAAGGTCACTGTTGTCGAAGACAAAAATGTTTTCGGTGAAAATTTCGGAAAAATTTTACCAGCAGGCGAGCAACCACTCTTCAAATGGAAACGAAATGGAATTGACTTTGACCCCGAAGAGCGTTTTAAAGTTATTTTGGGTGAAGATGAAGATTCGCTTGCTTTATTTTTTCAACATGTCAAACCAGAAGATGCTGGAATTTATACATGCTGGTAATCCTCCTAAAGAAAGTAAATTTATGAATAAAAATAATTTAAAAAAATTATTTTTTAATTTTAAGTGCGCAGACATCAACGGGCAATATTTCGTGCAGTGCTGAACTTACAGTTCAAGGTAAGATTGGCGCTGAAAAATTTGTTGTTTTTATCGAAAAATGCGATGTTCTTCTTTTTTAAGAAGAAAGAAACAGATTTAAGTTACAAAACAAGTGTATTAAATACAATTCATTGGGATCTATAATCTTTATTGAAAATGTAGCCTAAAATCTACCTTTCATAAAAACCAAAGCGTTACATTTTCAACGTTTAAATAAATAAATAAACACATTTGTTATTCTTTGAACTAAATTAAATCGAAAATTAAAAAATTATAGGAGCAGTCCAACAGTTAATACGTGAACCGGAAAAACCTCAGTTGATTATTGAGCACAAAGAAGCATCGGCCAGCATTGGTGGAACTGCCATGATTGAATTGCAATACAAAGGTTATCCAAAACCAACCATCGAATGGAGACACGATGGTGAAGTAATTGAAGCGGGTTCCAAATACAAATTTTTGCATGAAGATGCCGAAAGTATGTCGTTGGTAATAAAAAGTGTTGCTGCGGAGGATGCTGGTTTTTACTCAGTTTCGGTATGTTTGTTTTTCTTTTGTTTTTGTTTTTATATAGGCGGTAAAAAGAATTCGTATTCTTAATTTTATAAAAGGCTATTAAATTCTTTGGAAGACTTTAAAAAGGAACTTTAAGATATACAAAATCTATATAATTTCTATAATAATGCTTTTAAAGATTTTCTTTATAATTATTTTAAAAACATTTTTAGTGCTTTAAAAGAAGTTAGAAAGGAAATAAACAAGCCTCGCCTCTATTTTTATCAATTGTCTATACAACTGTTATACAGTACGTATACAGGCATTATAAAGATACAGTTTTTTTTAATAATTATAAAAACACTATAAAGGAGTTATACAGAAAATAATTTTCTTTGTAAAAATAAAAAGTTTGTCGGGATATTGATGCTCGAAAAACAAGGGAATATTAGCTGGGTTGAAACAAGGGCTGCTCTGGATTCATTTATGGTCCTCTCACTATCGCACCCACCTCATTTTATTCGTTATGTATGTGGCTATGCAAATGCAAGTGAAAAAAAGCATACCCCAATTTTATTTTTACTAATTATATACACCAATCAATTGATTTGAAAGTTTTAATTTTTTTATATTATGTTCAATAGACACTTTTTTTTACAATTTTCAACTAATTTTAAATTCAAATACAAAACTAAAATTTGTACAATCTTATAATAAACATTATCTAGCGTATTAAAGAGTAGAATAAATGATTTTAAATTTTTAAAGAACACTTCAATACGAAATGATTTCAAATTTCTATTTTTTTATTTTCATATTATGTCTAATTCTAAGGCCATAAATGACCTTGGCGAGGATTCTGGGGTGGTCAACTTACAAGTTAAAAGCGGTCCAATTTTACAAAAGATTGATGACTTTACATGTAATGCAGGGGACCGTCTTGTTATGTCTATTGAAGTGTCTGGAAATCCATCGCCCACCATTAAAATATTGCACAATGGCAAAGAACTTACAGGAACTGAACGGATTACTGTTACGCGTGGCGAAGAAGTTAATCAGCAGACTACCTATACGGTTGAATTCAAACGAGCCGATCTATCTGATTCTGGGGCATATACAATTATGGTATGTTTGTTTTTCTTTTTTTTTTTCTTTTTATATAGGCGATGAAACGAATTCGTATTCTTAATTTTATAAAAGGCTATTACTTTAAGATATACAAATTATTTTAAAAACATTTTTAGTGCTTTAAAAGAAGTTAGAAAGGAAATAAACAAGCCTCGCCCCTATTTTTATCTACATTTTATATACAACTGTTATACAATACGTATACAGGCATTATAAAGATACAGTTTTTTTAATAATTATAAAAACACTATAAAGGAGTTATACAGAAAATAATTTTTACTCGAAAAACAAGGGAATATTAGCTGGGTGTCTCCAATAGAAAAGACAAAAGAAATTTATTCAATAAAAATACCGTAACATATTTTATTTCGAAAATAACAAAAATTTTTATATAAAAAATAAAGATCACTCTTAACAGCCAAATTCGATGGATAAAAAGTGAGATAAAACATTTTCTAAAACGGAAAAACTGAATCGGACACAAACGAAATGAGGCAAAAAATTAACTAATTAAATGATTTAAATCATTTGATCAATTTGGGCGAAGCAGTACTAGATTCAATTCTATCAATTCCATTCAATTCCACTGAATTCTATTCAATTCCAAATTAAATTCTAGTCCGTGTGTTTTAACTCATTTACTTCAGCAAATTTAAGGTGATGTGAATTTTTTGATTCTGATTGAACCAGGCGATACAAAAAATTGACCAGAATTTGAGAATTGAAGAAAAAAAATTATTTTTTTTTTTTGTGTCATTTTTTACGATTTTTCACCATCCTATGTTATGAAAAACACGGAAGACCGCTGAAATGGCATGTCTTACGTCCGTACATATTTTGTATTTGCCATTTCAGCGGTCCTCCGTGTTTTTCATACAAGTCTTCCCATGGTGAAAAATCGTGAAAAACGAAAAAAAAATAATTATGTTTTTTTTTTCAATCCTCAAATGCTGGTCAATTTTTTGTATCGCCTGGTTCAATCAGAATGAAAAAAATCACATTCTTTATCAGCCGAATCACGCTTGGCGAATAATACACGCAAGTGTCATTTTGCTGCTATATGGCGACTCTATATGAAACTCTCCTTGTAATACCTAAAATTTGCTGAAGTAAATGAGTTAAAATACACACGGACTAGAATTTAATTTGGAATCGAACAGAATTGAGTGGATTTGAATGGAATTGAAAGAATTGAATCTAGTACTGCTTCGCCCCTTGCCATATATTGATACGTTTTTTCACAATTATCACATTTGAATCGTTTGCCGTTGTGATGCAGCTCAACATGCCGATTCTGATTTCCCGTTGCAGTAAATGTTTTATCGCACAATTGGCATTTGACCCTTCATATGAAGAGTATGCGCCGTATGTGTGCATTTAAACTTTACTTTTTATCATACATATTGCCACATTCGTCGCATTCGTATTTTGGTGGTGGTAGATGACACAGGCTTTTCTATTATCACAAAATTAAACCATCTGCTGTGTCCATGTTTTCTTAACGTGGCGAAGTCAATTCCTTCGATTGCCTCATTATGGGCTTGGTCATTTGCGACGGTCATACGATCGAAATGATTCGAGATTTGGTGGCTAACTGCTACCAATTCTCTTCCGCAAATGATGCAGTACACTTTTGTGCCAGCAGGTAATATGCGTTTACAATCATTCCATACATCTTTTCGAAAGAAATTATCTTCTTTCATGGACTCTAACAAGTATAAGCCCAGTTGTACTTCATCATCGAGTGACTTCAAAACATTGATCGCTTGCGTTGGTACCACTTCCCCAACCGCATTCAACATTTGAATGCGATCGGTTGTGTCGAGCTTGGTTTTCAGTGCCTCGTGAACACATACCTCGTAAATGATGGGTGGCATACCCATTTCTTGGAGTATTACCATTTCGAACTGGTTTGGGTATGTGGCTCCAATCATATCAATCAATTTGGTGTAAAACAGATCTTTACAAGCCACGCCATTTCAATTCACGAAGCGACAGCGCCATTCAAGCGTAGAAGAGAGTAAGGTAGCATTCAAAAATATCTACGCACATTTGACTGGCAATGAATTTGGGGAAAACCATTTCGATAAGCAACCAGGAAATACAATCGCGTCGATATTGAATTGAAATACATGCGCCGCCCAATCACAATTAAATTTTGTGAAATGGATATAAAATGCGTCTTTAATCAAATTTAATGGAAATGTTTTCATATGGTGATGCATTTTTAAAAAAAATATTGAATTTTCATTGTGTGTAATAAAAAAATGCTCATTTTAGGCAACAAATGAAATCAATACAACTTCTGAATACTTTAATCTCACCGTACTATCGCCTCCAACGGTGATCAAACATCTTGAGCGTGAATACATACACGGTGAAAAGGAAGAAATTATCATGTCTTTTAGAGCGAATGCTTATCCAGAACCAGAGGTAAAGTGGCTTAAAGAAGGTGTTGAAATCAATGAGAAAAGCGATGCGAGAGTTCGTTTCGAGCGCGACGGTAATGCTTATGTTATGATTATAACGGGTGCTGTTCGTACTGATGCTGCAAAATATGGTTGCAAATTGAAAAATGCCCATGGCGAAATTACTGAAGATAGCAGAGTCCGTATCAAATGCTCACCAGATTTTAAAACAAAATTAAAGAGCATTACAGTAACTGAGGGCGATACGAATGTGGAACTTTGTGTTGCTGTGCAAGGTTATCCAAAGTATGTATTCAAATGCGAAAAGAAATTGATCGTAATATCGCTACACATTGATTAACTATGAGAAGTTAAAAGGTGAACTTTACTCTCTGTTATACAATAACCAGCGATGTTACGTGTCAATAGCATTTAAATTTCAGATTTAATATTATTTTCTATTTATTATAGACCAGCAATAAAATGGTTCTTGGACGGAATGGAAATTAGTGAAAAAAGGACTGAATTTAAAGAATCCGATGATGGCGAAACATACAAATTATTGCTTACAAATGTTACTACGGATATGCATGGAAAATACAGTTGCGTTATTAAAAATGACTATGGAAAAATTGAGGATGAATGCTCAGTTACAGTAAACTGTTAGTGCCAATTAATTTTCTAAATATTTTCAAATGGCTTTTTATTCATGAATAATTTTTGTTCAGGTCAACCAAAGATTAGGAAATCTTTGACGGATGTTGAAATCGCTGAGAAAGAAACACTTTTGCTCGAAGTTGAAGTGTATGCTGTTCCAGAACCAAAAATTGTTTGGTTTAAAGATGGCCAGGAAGTTCATTCTGACGCAAGAATCAAGATTCAACGTGATTCTCAACGCTTGGAAACGTATAATTTGACACTAAATCTTATTAAACGCGAAGAGGCTGGCGTTTATGAAATGAAAGCGTCAAACACTCTTGGTACGGCAGTTTCGAAAAGCGTTGTCATCGTTAATAGTAAGTACCACAGCACAAAGTTTTTTTTATATATAGGACTCAAAAGAAAATTCTCGTCAAAAATGCTAAAATATAGTGTTTGAGATCGTAGGTTTGTTTTTCTTAAATATTATATTATTTTCCACACAACCTAAATTCCTTTTATGTTTCCGTTGTTACTTTTTATGTGTTTTTCTTACTGTCATCGTCATACAAAATAAATTGACACAATTTAAGCTCGAGAAGTTTTTACAAAACCGAAACTAGATGAACAAGTTGACGCCAATATACTTGTCGAAAACGAAATTGAAAAACCAAAAAAAGAATCAAGTGGTAAGTAATATAACGAGACAATACTTCAAAATGTACAGATTGCAATATTCATTTATAAAACAATTGAGTGTATTGAAAATATTGCAATTCTCAGTTACATATTACATTTCTCTATAAAAAAATCAATGAGTTCAGTTTGCAGTTTTAACGATAGAAAATAATATATATATTCGTTCAACTTAACATTTAAAATTGCACAAAGAGAACTAATATTTTTGTTAGCTCGACATGTTGTACTTAAAATTAAGATATGTATTTTCATTTATTAAAAATTGATCTTACCATTAGATAAAATCGTGAACGTAATTTTGAAACAAAGAAAAGACACAGAAACGTTAGTTCTTTTTGAAACGTTGACCAAAAAACAAAAAATAAAACCATGTTCTTTATGGTGAAAAAAATCCCATTTTATACTCATGATCCACTCTATTTATTACTTTGACATTGTTCCTCGGGATTTGGGCATAACAACGGCCAAAATAATTTCAAATGTGCACATTTACACTTTGCATCTACCAAAAACACACACGCACACACACACACACACACACACTGTACACTTCACATGAAATTAAATGAAATCAATGATAGAACTTGACACACGGACACAGTCTATTTGCACTAAAATTGATGGGAATGGTGAAACGGTTACCATATCTGTTAATACAGAAGAATCACACGAATCCACACTATCAGGTATACACATTTCAGCATATTTATTTTTTGTGATTTCAATATTTTAAAATACTGAAATCGATGAAATTATAGTGATTTTTTAAAAGGAAAAATGTCGAAGTGATGAAATGGAATTTTTAATGAAACTGATTGCAACTTTTTTAGTTGTGTTTTAAATAAAATAGAACAAGAACAGATTGTTTGCTCCAGTTTGTTCAGGAAGTAAAACCGATTATTGGATTTGGAATTGGTAGTAAACTCTGAAATATTGATAAAATGTCATTACAAAAATTAACTGATTGTAATTATGTTTTCCTCTTTTAATTACATCCTGAAGCATTTATTTTCCTTTTAACAAAATTCACTTTACTCAGTGCACGCATACGTAAGTTTGTCATCCATATTGATTGAAATCAAAATGTATAGGCTCCGCAGAATCTCATTCGATTCACCAGCGTCGAGCAACAACGGTAATCTTAGAAGAAAATCAAGATCAGGGAGCGATCAATATAGACTTACCAGTTTCTTCGCCAAAGATTTGTTTACAAGTTGAAGAAATTGGTAGTTATGAATTGGGATCAGAGGGGGGTCCTTTTGGCTATCAAACAAATAACATCGATGGAATTGGAAATTACGCAATCATTATTGATGAATTTGATTCGGACAATGATGGTCCATCAGCGCATCATTCGCGTACAACATCACGAAATATATCGATTAATTCTGTTTCAGAAGACGACATTAGTTTACCCACAGCAACGAAATCGTGCGAAATGTCAATGAATCAATTCAAAAAGAACGTTCCATTTGAGGATGGCATAGCAGAGATGACAGTTACCAGAATTGTCATGGAAGAGCAAGAAGTGATTACAACTGAAATCGATGATGATGACATTGAAATGGATAAACCGAAAAAAGACATCGAATATGATCTTCAGAGTAAGATTGAAGAAAAAGCGAAAAAACTTTATGCTGAACTGGCAGAAGGAAGCGAAAATGAAAAGTCGCAACGTAGATTGGATCGACAGAGTTCATTGAAGGGTGCCATTCTATACGATATTGAAGAAAAGAATGAAGGCAATGAACTATCACCAGACGATGTAAAAGCGCAACGCATTAAAGAAATCCGAGCGAATGCTCGACGAGCATCATTGCAGAAACAAGACCAAAATACCGATGACATTCAAGCACATCCTGTCGAAGAGGTTGAAATTACAAAACCCAGATCAAAATCTATCGATATGAATTCAAAACCACCTATCGCAAAACGACCAAGCATTGTTGAAGATTTAGAAGAACCAAAAGACTTATACATGGAAAATTTACTTCGCCAAGCTCGACGCCAGCGTAGCGTCTTAGATGAAATTGTTGACCAAAAAGAACGGAGTTTATCCCGAAGTAGAGAAACATCTCGCCAGCGTAGCATTATAAGTGAACGAAAAGGCAGTGTATCGCCAGAGGAAGAACAAAAACCAGAGAGTTTTGATGTGTCTGGCCATCGACCAAACTTTATATCTGACATTGAAAATCACACTGTAGACATGGGTCAGCCAATAAAATTGGAAGCAAAAATTGAATGCATTACAAAACCGAAAATTACTTGGTTCCAAGATGGAGAACAAATCAAACCAGATGGATTGCATGTACGCACTGAACAAATGCCCGATGGATTAGTTATTTTGCACATTGATAGTGCCGAATTGTCTGACAGTGGTGAATACCAAGGTATGTTTTTCTTTTGTTTTTTTTTTTTTTCATATAATATAGGCGATAAAAAGAATTCGTATTCTTTATTTTATAAAAGCCTATTAAATTCTTTGGAAGACTTTAAAAAGGAACTTTAAGATTTACAAAATCTATACAATTTCTATAATAATGCTTTTAAAGATTTTCTTTATAATTATTTTAAAAACATTTTTAGTGCTTTAAAAGAAGTTAGAAAGGGAATAAACAAGCCTCACCTCTATTTTTTATCAATTAGACACAACTGTTATACAGTACGTATACAGGCATTATAAAGATACAGTTTTTTTAATAATTATAAAAACACTATAAAGGTAACTCCTTTACAGAAAATAATTTTTGCTCAAAAAACAAGGGAATATTAGCTGGGTGGCTTCAAGAGAAAAGACAAAAAGAATTTATTCAAAAAAAATACCGTAACATATTTTATTTCGAAAATAACAAATTTATTATATAAAAAATAAAGATCACTCTTAATAACCAAATTCGAAGGATAAAAAGTGAGATAAAACATTTTCTCAAACGGAAAAACTGAATCGGACACTTCATTGTCAAGTGTCTCCAATACATCGATTGCTTTTGATGGAACGACCTCCCCAACCTCATTCAACATTTGAATGCGAACGGTTGGGTTGAGGATCGATTTTAATACCTCGTAAATGATGGGTGGCATACCTATTTATTTGAGTATTACAATTTCGAATTGGTTTGGGTATGTGGCCCCAATCATAGCAATCAATTTGGTGTAAAATAACTCAAAAATACTGTTCAATACTTTTCCATCTAATTTAGATTTGATGAATTTGATGTGGTGAAGTGGTTGTTGGGTGCCGAACACTTTATGACTATATATAGACTTTGTTTTGCTGATTAAAAGAAATAATTTTTAAAACGAAAAAAAAAGAATCCATAGAAATAACAAAGTCCAATTTCAAATTGATTTGATTTTTTTTTTAAATCTATTTAAATTTTTCTGATACAATTAGAAAACATAATTTGTAACATTGATTTATTTAGAATGGCATGAGTATTCTATCCATAGGTTGTCGATTGGATTAATTGATTGCATACTCGTACTAAATGTGGTTGGTGGTCATTTGATCCTTCAATAGCAAGTATCGTTATACATTTATACGAACAACATTTCGAAATTGGATGAAAATATGTCGAAAAAAAAATGGGGGTACAGTTTTTTCGCTTGAACTTGTTAGCTGCATAACGGAGAAAATAGGGTGGGTCTGGTAATGGAAGAACATTTCAAAATGGATACCATTTAAATGCTAAGTAAAAAATTAAAATGTTCAGTAAAAAAATAAAAAATGCTCAGTAA